CCACAACAGTGAGAGGCCCGCGTACAGCAAAAAAAAAAAAAAAAAAAAGAGTTAAACAACAAGATCCTACTGTATAGCACAGGGAACTATATTCAATATCTTGTAATAAACTATAAGGGAGAGTGGGAGGGAGATGCAAGAGAGAGGAGATGTGGGAATATATGTATATGTATAGCTGATTCACTTTGTTATAAAGCAGAAAGTAACACACCATTGTAAAGCAATTATACTCCAATAAAGATGTTTAAAAAAAAAACTATAAGGGAAAAGAATCTGAAAAAATACATATATATATACATATATATGTATATATATATGTATATATATATATCTGAATTACTTTGCTGTACACCAGAAGCTAGCACATTTTAAATCAACTATACTTCAATAAAAAAATAATAAATTTAGAAACAGTCCAACAAAAAAGTCTTTCACATAGTTATTAATATTCATGGAATTTGAATAAGATAAATTGATGAATTCTTGATCATTGTAAAGGCCCTGTCTGTGTGCCATCATATGTTTCCAGAGCAATATCAAAGTATTTTTATTATGGAATTTGCATCTAATCAGTTTTTTAAAAGTAAAAATAAAATGTACAGCCAACAAAACATAATTTAGCAATGTAGTTTTAGGAAGTTATAAGCAAACGAGAAAATTGTAGTGTGGCTTATTTCATATTATTTTTTTCTCTGAAAAATATAAAAATAAAATTTAGTTATCGTGATTATAAACCATTACTGTTTTTTGAAAGAAACTAAAATTGCTTTTTATAGCCTTTGAATTGAACTGCCTATTTTACTAGCATTAGACTTCTGCAAATTTTAGTCCCATTTATATTCTGTGAGTGCAAGATTAGAAAGAGTGCTTAATGACAAATGGCTGGAGAATGTCACCCACTAAAGTAAACATGGGTGACAGAAGATGTTTGCCTCTAAACAATAATGCATGATGGCATGTAGAGTCTAAAAAATAGAAGGGTTTACCCCTCTTAGCTATTTATCAATTTTATAGCTGGAGAAGCCCTTTAAAAACCAGGGATACCTAAGCATTTCCTGTGTTTCATTCTGGTATAGAAAGAAGTATATTTACAAGAGTTTTGTGGGGGTTTTTGTTTTTTCAGGTTTTTCTTAAATTTTATGTATTTTTTTATACAGCAGTTTCTTACTAGTTATCCATTTTATACATATTGGTGTATATATGTCAATACCAATCTCCCAATTCATCACACCACCACACCTCCCCCCACCAGTTTCTCCCCTTGGTGTCCATACATTTGTTCTCTGCATCTGTGTCTCAATTTCTGCCCTGCAAACTGGTTCATCTGTACCATTTTTCTAGGTTCCACATATATGCGTTAATATACGATATTTGTTTTTCTCTTTCCGACTTACTTCACAATGTATGACAGTCTCTAGATCCATCCACGTCTCTACAAATGACCCAATTTCATTCCTTTTTATGGCTGAGTAATATTCCATTGTGTATATGTACCACATCTTTTTCATCCATTCATCTGTCGATGGGCATTTAGGTTGCTTCCATGTCCCTGCTATTGTAAATAGAGCTGCAATGAACATTGGGGTGCATGTGTCTTTTTGAATTATGGTTTTCTCTGGGTATAAGTCCAGTAGTGGGATTGCTGGGTCATATGGTAATTCTATTTTTAGTTTTTTAAGGAACCTCCATACTGTTCTCCATAGTGGCTGTATCAATTTACATTCCCACTAACAGTGCAAGAGGGTTCCCTTTTCTCCACACCCTCTCCAGCATTTGTTGTTTGTAGATTTTCTGATGATGCCCATTCTAGCTGGTGTGAGGTGATACCTCATTGTAGTTTTGACTTGCATTTCTCTAGCAATTAGTGACATTGAGCAGCTTTTCATGTGCTTCTTGGCCATCTGTATGTCCTCTTTGGAGAAATGTCTATTTAGGTCTTCTGCCCATTTTTGGATTGGGTTATTTGTTTTTTTAATACTGAGCTGCATGAGTTGTTTATATATTTTGGAGATTAATCCTTTGTCTCTTGATTCGTTTGCAAATATTTTCTCCCATTCTGAGGGTTGTCTGTTCATCTTGTTTGTAGTTCCCTTTGCTGTGAAAAAGCGTTTAAGTTTCATTAGGTCCCATTTGTTTATTTTTGTTTTTATTTCCGTTTCTCTAGGAGGTGGATCAAAAAAGATCTTGCTGTGATTTATGTCAAAGAGTGTTCTGCCTATGTTTTCCTCTAAGAGTTTTATAGTGTCTGGTCTTACATTTAGGCCTCTAATCCATTTTGAGTTTATTTTTGTGTATGGTGTTAAGGAGTGCTCTAATTTCATTCTTTTACATGTAGCTGTCCAGTTCTCCCAGCACCACTTATTGAAGAGACTGTCTTTTCTCCATTGTATATCCTTGCCTCATTTGTCATAGTTTAGTTGACCATAGGTGCATGGTTTATCTCTGGGCTTTCTATCCTGTTCCATTGATCTGTCTTTCTGTTTTTGTGCCAGTACCATACTGTCTTGATTACTGTAGCTTTGTAGTATAGTCTGAAGTTTGGGAGCCTGATTCCTTCAGCTCCGTTTTTTTCCCTCAAGACTGCTTTGGCTATTTGGGGTCTTTTGTGTTTCCATACAGATTGTGATTTTTTTTGTTCTAATTCTGTGAAAAATGCCATTGGTAGTTTGATAGGGATTTCATTGAATCTGTAGATTGCTTTGGGTAGTAGAGTCATTTTCACCATATTGATTCTTCCAATCCAAGAACATGGTATATCTTTCCATCTGTTTGTATCAAGAGTTTTGTAAAGAAGTCAAGAGTGGTTGATTTTTGGAGAACTCTAATTTCCACCCTGTCTTATCCTCTGACATCCATTACTTCAGAGTCAAAAACTCTTGTTCAACCCATGAAATGAGGTAGTAGTGTGCTTCTCAGAGCTGCCCAAACAACATAAAACTTCCAGCGAGTGGTGTTTGTGTGTTTTTAGCACTCAGCTATCAGAAACTCCAGAAATAAACATATCAGGGACCAAACCTGCTGGCAAACATGTGACGTTAATCTTTATTATATTTGAGAAAATGTTTGGAAGTAAGAGGTCCCTGACAGTTGGGAACTTTCAGATGTGAGTCACAATTGCCAGAGGATGATGGAAGGAGGGCTTCTTTCTCCAGGACAGTGTCTTCTGGGAATAACTTGAGGGAAGATGGAGGCCTGGCTTGGAACCTCCAGGATGGAAGGTCCTTGTTAATATGGAAAAGAAGTAGAAAGAGGGTGAATAAATATCATCTCTTGGAATAGAGTACAAGAATATAAGAAAGTTGGTCCAGTGTCACTAGATGGACGGGAAATGTGGGAGTTAGGATAACATATAGACAGTATGGTGTTTTTCAAAAGCAACAGTATAAAATATAAATAAGTCAGCTATTAATTCACAATTTCTTACCTAGTACAAGGGGTTTAAATACAAGTTGGTAAAGTTTTCCTGATTTGTCTAGTAGTTAGAGCGAGCTGACTTTGCTGGATCCATGATTTGAAATTGGCTTAAAGTGAACCTAAGATCAGCAGCTGCCAACATTTTTGTCCTTTGAAAGATGAGTCATTCTTATCTGACCCTTTAAAACTGTAGCTAGACTAAAGAAAGCTTTACATTGCAAGGTAATAAATTTACTCTTGGGATATCTGCATATTTTAACTCATAATATTCTTTCTTTTTTGAAGATTTTGCAAAGCAGTAGATTCACCTTCACAAACTGAAATATATTTCCTGCCTCTTTTGTATGCAGTGCAATATAATTACCCTCTCTGCATATCAGACTGTGTCGCATTCTCTGATCTTAGCTTCCCTACAGCTTCAACTAGCAATGGTTCAGTATCATTACACTGTCACTAAATTACAAGTAGCCCCAATGTGTAAATTTTCCCATGAGCTCCTGCCTTTATAGTTTATTTCTGTACAGCCATTTTCAATGGGCAAGGGAAGTGACACCTGCCTCCTGACAGTTCATGCTTCCTCTATACCTCTCATTACCATGGTGACGGCTCTTTGTACAGAAATGGGAACTTTCTAATTTTGATGCTGTTTTTGCTTGCAAATTCAACTCTTAAGTGAACGTGAAAATTATCCCTACATTAAAATCAAGCTGTATTGTTAAGGTCACCCTACTTTTCTTTATGTAGAATATAAAACTTATCTTTAAACCCACCTAGATTATAGATGGGCTTTTGGCTCCATGGAGGAATGTAGAAAGCTGCCTCTAGGTAAAATGGCAGGAAGGATGGGACAAGAGGAAGGTGCTGGTCTTAACTCTGCCATTCCTGGCCCTGCTAATGGAATGGGAAATACATCGAATTTGACAGTCCCAGTGCGTGACCACTAGCAAATGTCCTCTGCTAAGTGAATCTCAATTTTATCATCTAGAAAATGGAGCTACTACCCCATTGTCCATAACATGGGGTTAATGTCTACCTCACCTATTTCTCAGGGATGTTAAGAGAGTTAAATAAGTTGATATATGAGAAAACGCTGTGCAAACTATAAAGTGCTGTACAACCTGCAAAGTGCTGTGCAAACTGTAAAGTACTATCCAGACATCATGATGGTAACTTTTACTAAGTACAAAGACTAAGCTGTAGTCTCTGTGCAAATTACCTCAGTGTGACTGCTGTTTCCTTCTTTGGAATTCTCAAATTGCCATCTGATTTCATTTATGTTTGTACTCTTTGAAGCTATTTGATTTACAGCTGGCACTGCTTCCTTGTAAATAGCACTATGCTCACATCACCCTAGGGGTCAGTGTCAGGGCTTACTGCATAAAGGCCTTTAGTTCAGGGCAAGAAGGACTAGAGGCAAGTCTTTTAGTGATTGCTTACACGTTGCTGACGTGACCAGTAGCCCACAGCCAAAGCTCACTAACACCTACATGAAAATGTCCTCTTTCAGCCAGCATGAAAATATGTCATGAAATTTTTTAAAATTAAAATTAACATCTTCTTTTTTGTTTTACCTTTTCTTTTAAAAGCCACTTATGATGTTTTCTCAAGCCCTACAACATCAGATGAGCCTGAAATATCAGAGCCCCACACAGGTACACCCAGCCTCTCAATTCTTGTTTTTGGATGCCAGGTATTCTGACAATACTGCACCTAGTTCTCCCTTTCATTTTTGCCGAATGAAAAAGTGCGCTCTCTAGAGCTCCACAGGAGAGACATGGCAATCTGTGTCAGGGAGATGAATTCTACCCACCTCTCCCATTGAATGATTATTTCTTCACATCCATCAGTAAATAAACTCTGCCACATGTGGGAGATGCAGATAGATTAGGTTGCCACTGAGGCACAGTAGAATAATGGCCTATCTCTCTGTTGTTCAGAGTCATTCTAAAAAGCTTTTAGGTTCTTAGTTTTCCCTGGTGTAGTGGTTCTCCAGTGGGGGTGATTTTGCTCCCTTCCTCCTGAGGAAACATTTGGCCATGGCTAGATATACTTTTGGTATCTGGGGAAGGTCTTACTGACATCTAGTGGGTAGAGGCCAGGGATGCTGCTAAACGCCCTGCAATGCACAGGACAGCTCCCACACCAGAGTCATCCAGCCCTAAAGGGCAATAGTGCCAAGGTGAGAAATCCGTCTCTCGAGCAATCATGTCGCTCATTTGTCTATAGAAGTTCAGTTGGGTCTAACGTTTGACATTCACTTACTGATCCATCTACGGTGAGTTTAATTCAGTCCAATAGTTCCTTCTAGCAAGTATTTATTGAGCACTTACTAAACTAGGTACTGCAGGAGATTCAAAGTATATAATACTGGTCTCTGCCACACAAAGACATATGTCTGGTATTTGTGTGTGTGTGTGTGTAGCCTTATCTTAGCTCTATTGGTGCCATGATAAATAAAGGCAAATAATTTTAAATAGTAGCAGAAAATGTTAAGAAATGAAACAGAATGCTAAGAGTAGATTCAGCTAGCAGTTTAAGACACAGAGGGAAGGAACCAGAAAAACCAGTTGAAAACAGTTCAATATATGAAACATGGTTTTATCATGGTTTAACATTTGAAGTTTGCATGTTTTTAAAAATGAGGTCATCTTCAACTCCTAATGAATCACTAGTTTTCAAATGTTGGTCAGCAATCTCTCAAGTGTTCTTGATATTTTTCCCCATTTGAGGCATAATTTATTACTCTGGAATTTGTATTTTATTCCTGGGGCCTTCTACTGCTTTTAAAAATGTTGACATTTATTCCAACAGCAACAAGCGATCCATTTCTGGATTCTGTCCCATCTAAAACTTCTAGAACTCTTGAACAGCCAAGGGCAACACTGGGTAATGTTTTTAACAGAAAAATTGTGCTTTGTTTTCCATCGAAAGAAAATCCATGTAAATGCCTTTCTTCCAAATGACCATTTAATTCCATCACATCTAATCATTTATTTCTTTCCTATTTCTGAATATAATATATATTTTTTCCTGTAATGCAGGCATCTTATGTTCCATTTTGGGCTCTCTCTCTCTTTTTTCTTTTTAAACCGTAATAGATGTTATTTTTTCCATCCTTAAAGGAATGAAAAGCTTTGAAAACTGCATGGACATCATCATCCATATCCTCCCATCTCGTGTGTTTGTGGCCTGTATCACCTCTCTTCCATGCATTGAGTCTGCCTCGAGTCAGCTACTGAACAATCTCATTCTGACCTTTTCTCCACTTTAAATTATCATTTCATCCACCAGCTTTCAAGACAACATTCATGCATTTTTCATCCTTCATCATGTCCTTGTAGCATGTGCTTTGTAACACCATCTAAAAGCATGCTGAAACTCTTAAGATACCTCATTTTAACTGGAATTATTTGGTGGGATGGGGTGTTTGTGTTTTCAGCTCCGAGTGAAACACCATTCGTTCCTCAAAAACTGGAAATCTTTACCAGTCCTGAAATGCAACCTACAACACCTGGTAACTAATGACATTCGTATAGTTGTGTACTTTGAAAGAATGGATAAAGTGACAAAAAGAATCAGTCATGTGTTGGCCTTTTCAGAATATTTTCAGTAGTAAACATTTCCCTTCATTCTCTACCATGAACTTCTTCAAAGAACTGGGGTATCTGTCCTACTTAGCCTTGTGATAATCCTCGAAGAATTTTCATAATCTTGGTGTCTCTGTATTTTTTTAATTGAGGTAAAATTAATATATAACATTATATTAGTTGCAGGTGTATGACATAAAAATTCAGTCTTTGCATACATTATTTTGAAGTATTATTCCCTTTCTTCTTGTTATTCCCTATACTTCTTTCAAATTTGCCACTGGAAAATAACAGCAAAATTATAGATGATAATTATTTTAAAATACATTCCCTTCAGTTAGCATATTTAGATACCACTTGGTCAGACTGTTTTTCTCCAAGTAGCCTAAGTATAAAGAGCATCAAGTAGGCTCTGCAATCCTGGATATGATAAAGAAAGATGAATAAAAGAGTAAAACACATATATTCTATAATAGAAACTTATTGGAATAATGAAGTTCGTTAACTCCTGGTGAGGTTAGTAGTGAGATATAGAATTAAAGAAGTTCTGAACCTTCCATTCTCTAAATCTCAAATATTTATGTTTCTCCCGTGCTGTTCAGTAAATCACCTTTTGAGTTCTTAACTGTACCTTGTGTTCTTAAATCCCACAAGGGTCCTCCCTTTCCAGTACAGTTAAGTGAACAATGTACCTTCAATTCTCATATAGAATTTAATTTCTTTTGACTCAATCAACACTTATTGAGCACCTACTGTGTATAAAACACAGTGCTGGGCATTCTAGGGATACAAAGAAATAAAAAGCAGTTCTTGCCCTCAGGAGGTTTACAAGTTTACAGTTACAACCTGATTGACCCCTGGGAAATACCATTTATCAAAGCTATATTAAATCTTCTTTCAGCTCCCCTGCAAACTACATCTGTCCCTTCTACACCTAAACGACGCTTCAGGCCCAAAACACCAAGAACTAAACCTGGTAAATAACTGTCTCTTTAACCTTTCAGGATATTTAATTCGAAATAGATAATGTCCATCTACTTACAAAAAGAAACGATTCTATAGATTAAACATTCTCTGTAAATTTTGGAATTGACTGAAGATGAATAATTAATGTAAAATAACAAGGATCAAACATTTTCAATAAGATCTTATTGAAAATTATGTGAATAATGTTCTTTTTTTCTGGGAAATACTCTTCTTTAATCAAAGTAATACATAAAGATTTTTTTTAAAGTACTACAAGGCCTAGATTGAACAAGAGGAGTCCACTGCCCTACCCTATTCTACGCTTGAGACCCATTCTCCAGTTCTTCAGCATGTTTCTTTTGTATTTACCTCCACATTTCTAAGTAATATGCTGCTGTTTCTTGTTAGATCAATTTTAGTGAATGATGTTCTTGCATGCAAATTTTGGTATAAACATAGAAACAAGTCCTACTGTCACAGTGATATATACTGTAATTTATTTTCCTGGCATGCATCTGAGTTTAAGTGTTATTAGGCAGACAGTTCCTGTTTTCGTTGCCTACTACTATGTTTTCAGTTTTGCATTAGGGCGATGGCTGAGATGCAGAGGACATGACTCTGGCTTTCCAATTGCTTGTATTTTTTTTTTTAAGATTATATCATGAACAATGAGAGCAATGTAAGATTATACAACCTGCTTGTGAAGCTATAATACTGTGTGGAAGCTCAGAAAAAGAAAGTACAAGTTGAGGATGTAAGCCTCAGAATGTGTGTAGGGTTTAGAGGAAAAGGAGAGGGGAACAACATATATTATGGCACAGAGTTTGAGGTAAAGGTAGTTTACCAACCTGGATGTGATACTCTTCATTGTCAAAGAGTACACTCAGAATCATGCTCAACAAACCAGGCTTTGATATTCCATTGCTTATTACAATTTTTTTATAGCTATACTATTATGACTAAATTTTAAAGTTCTTTCCCCAAACTTTTACTCACTGCATACTTTGTAAACACTGACTAAATATTACAGGATTTTAAAAAGGTCATTCAGTTCCTCTTTGGAGGATTGTTTTTTTTTTATTGTCTCTAGAATATTTTAATATATATTTTTTTCCTTTCCACCACCAGAAAGAACCACAAGTCCTGGAACAATTACATCTAAAATTTCTAAAAGCCCTGAACCTACACGGACAACACTGGGTAACAATATGTCCTTAGTAAATATGTTACTTCATTTCACCACGGAAAGTCCAGTATGCCAGCTTTTCTGTAATGTCTCAATCACTGTTCTAATTGGATCATTTCAGCAGTACTAAATTATCTCGTAGTACACATCAACTCCATGACTTTCATGGTTTTGGATAGCTGGCCATGTGGTGGTTGATGTGAACTCAGCATTTAGACATCATCCTGTACCCTGGAGAGCCGTTAAACCACTGATGATTTCTCATCTTCTATGCAACCATTGTTTTTAAAGCTGCGTCTTTTACACAGTTCTCCATTTTTTTACGTAAGGCCCTCAAGTTCAACTTCATTTGGCAAAACAGCTTTCTGTTATGGTGTTAGTAAAAATTTCTTTATGCTGTAGATCGTAACATTATACCTATCAGTAAATATTAATTTTAAAACATTTCTCTTTTCTGATGCTTAAAGATTTAGATGTGGCTGAGAAATGTGAAATAAGGTGCAAAATCATTACACTGATTTTGGTTTTCTAATCATGGGTTAAAATCACTGTCTTTGGGTAGTTGTGGTGACTAGTGACAATGCTATTTCTCTTGAAATGCTTTTTCAAAAAGATGAAAATTTATTACTGTATTTTCATTAAATGGTGCTCTGTGAAGTATTATTTTAATGGAATCCAAAATCATCCAAGATGATGGGTTTATAGCACTTGAGGTATAGGTTTTCCTTTTGCGGTTTTAGACACTGAAATGACTAATTATTGATTTGTTGATTATTTTGTTTCTTTATTTTTCCAGCTCCCAGTAAAACACAGTTTATTTCTTTGAAACCTAAAATCCCTCTCAGTCCAGAAGTGACACCCACCAAACCTGGTAATTACCCTGAGCTTTATTTTGATATTCCAAAAGTAGGGTTGAAAAGTTATTTTATGCCACTCTTTGGAGCAAGAAATTTTGATTTGCATCTTGGTATTTGATATAACTTTCCATGAAAAGAGTGAAAGTGTGATGAAATGATGTCGTTTATAGCCAACTCCTCTGATATTATCATAGCATCTCTCCGAGCTGTGTGGTGTTTCATTATGTTCATGACCATCACAGAGAAAGCACAGAAATAGAGTGGTGGGAAGGATTGAGGACTCCCTTGTCTAGGACTGTGAAATAGTTTCCAGTGCCAAAGTTGATTGGAATTCAGATCACACTAAACAGTAGCCTTTCAGCTGAGAAGTGGAGAAGTCTTTCCATCCCCTAAGAACTCTGCCTTGTTGGGGGCCTTCTCAGTTCTCGGGCTGCATGACTAGCAATGGTTGTATTTCCCTAATGTTCTATAGCTTCTTTCTAAATTGGGTCTGATTTCCGAACACTGACTTCTGTTTACTTCTCAGGAGACATTAATGATGTTTTGCTGAAGAAAAGAGGGTTTTTTTTCTTTTCTTCTTCTTTTGCAGGGAGGGGTTATTCTGTGTATGTAATTAAAAACAGAGACAATTCCCTGCACAAGGATTGCAGGACATGTTAAATGATCAAATTGTTTTTTCCATCTATCCAGAATCTCTACAACAGTCTGAAATGTTGATGTATGAGATTATATATGGGGAACTTCATCACAACTCATTATTTTCATCAAAACTTTAACCCCTTAGCTCTGGGAAGAATATATTTCTCACTGTAATATGGATTTTTCATTAATGTATATTTACAAGGTAGGATTATTAAAGCAAGAGGTTTTCTGCTTAAGTGGGCATGATTCGTTTTTTGCAAAGACATGGGTAAGGAAGAAAAGCGTAACTGCTCAGAGAGAGAATTCTCATGACTCCTTTTAAAGAGGCAGTGAGATTTCCAGGTGTTGTAGGTGTCAGAGGGAAAGAAATTATGGATTAGGCAAAGGGAGTATAGTTGATGCTGTGACCAGGGGTGAGGTCTCCAAGTCAGAGAAATGGAATGAAGTATTCTAACTCAGAGAGGTTATTAGGAGAAAGAAGCATAGCTAATAAAACTCAAGAGCCCTAGCAGTTTAAATCATAGAACTCTGACAGTCAGCTATCTGAGAGAAGGATTTCATGTACATTTATTTTAAAATTATGCCCAGAGGACTTTAGAATAAGGTAGTAACTCTTACATTTAAGCTGTATTTTGAATAGGGACCTATTACCAAGTAGCTTGAGAAATATTACTCTATGTTTGGGTCACCAACTTTTTATTTATTTATTTTTTGAATTTTATTTTTTTATACAGCAGGTTCTTATTAGTTATCCATTTTATACATATTAGTGTATATATGTCAATCCTAATCTCCCAATTCATCCCACCACCACCCCCTGCCATTTGGGGTCACCAACTTTAAGTAAATGTTTTTCCAATCTAATTATTTCTGTTGTTACAAGGTAACATTTGAAAACATCAAAAAATGTCTCCTAATGTTTATTACCATTTATTCATGATAAGCTATATTATTACTTCTAGTGGTTTCTGGGGGAATAAAATGTTTCTGAGAGGAAATTCATGAATACACATCAAGGTGGGAGAGTGTGTTCTTATCACTCTAAGGTATTTGAGCAAAGAGATTTCTTAATTTGACATTTCCCTTTAAAATGGGGGAAATCATTTGGAAGCTAATGGGTTTATATTCCTTTGATTTCTACCTTCTAATCACCTAAGAATAGCCACACTTTTCCCCTAACAGCAAGTATCACCACTTCAGAATCTGTGCCTAAACTTAAGCTAACTCATGTTGACTTTGAGTGGCCTGAGGCAACATAGAGTGATGACTGGTTCTCTATAAACCATTGCTTGGGTTTTAGCTTTTTAAAATGTATTTATTTTATGGCAACCACCACTATAGCTCTGCTAAATACTTCTTTTCCTGCCAAGGTTCAAGAGAGCAAATAAACCACCAAAAGCTTTTTGATTTGAGTCATTCATTGCCTTTCTCAGCCCTCTCCTCACACTCTCCTGTTTTTCTGTTTCACTTTCCATACAGGCTGCTTTTCCTTTGGTTTTCCTTTGTGGTTAAGCTAATGAGTAAAAACCCACATTGGTTTTGGTTTGTTTTATAAGTAGAATCCAGCACTTTCTTGAAAAATCCCAGACATCTACCATGTCCCAACTTGTCTGCCTCATCCAATAAGAATTGTTTCCTTCATAGTTAATTATTAAGGTTGTAATGACGTTCGGCTCTTCAAGCTTTTAACGATCTGAAAAAAAGGGAGAGACCTCCGATTACAGCTGTTTGTTGTATGCATTTCTCTGACACGGTGGACAGAATAGTAAATTGTACTCATTGCTAGCCACAAATCCATGAGAGGGTTTTAGTTTTCTTTGTTTTGTGCTGAGGTGAGTGGTGTAGTTATTTGCATGCCACTCAGCTTTTTTTATGGAACATTTTTGCACCTTTATCGGTAATACCTTAAGGCTATGAAATAGAGGAAGTCTTATCAGAAGATGTATTTACTTTTAATAAACACTGACTTTAATATTTTTATATTCAGGTGAATTGGAAGCTTAATTGATGGGGCTCCATACCTATTTGGCCTCAGTCTCAGGACCTAAAAAATGCTGATTTTTCTTTATAAAATTCAAAAGACAGCATTCTTTGATCTTTGTGAAAGCTAAAAGGTGCTACAAGTACCAAATCTTACTTTTTCACACTTTTAGAAGGCAACTTTGTAGAAATTAAAACCTGAATTACAACCTCAAAGTTTCAAGAGAATTTTTGTTTTTTGCTATTTTCAGATGTGAATGCTTTTTGATATTTATTGTATTTAATTACCGACATCTACTATTTATTTTCCCTTTCTCCTGTAGACTCTGACATTTAGCCACGCCCCCTCCCTCTCCCACACACACATTTTTTTGCTTTGCCTAGTGTACTTCTATCTCGTACATCACTGCAGCTCTGCCATTCATCTGTTATAATCTATTTCTGACAAGTTCTTGAGAAATCAGAATTCTTTTTTTTGGCCACAGACATTCTAATGAATGATGCTACGTTTCAGTAACACCTGTGCCTTGCATTCAGAATAAATGAAAATTCTCTATCCTAATTATTTATTATTATATTTTCTTTTTTAGTTGCTAAAGAGTCACTACATGCTTCCCCCAAACCTTCCATGCCCCCTAGTCCAGAAATATCAGAGATAACCCTGGTAAATGTAATATAAGGAATACATAAGTGCAAAATGATTTAAGTTCTGTTAAGCTGGTCAGTAGGGGCCATATTAATTGGTTTCTTTCTGTAAGAAAAAAAAAAGTCAAAGAATATTCACTTTGTATTTCAACAACTGATTTCCTTTTTTATTTTCTTCTTGAAAGAAAAGAATTCTTTTTGTTCTACAGAATAGGAAACCTCTATTGGATGATCTTCTTTTAAAAAACCCAAATAGACTTTTTAACCAAACTATATTCAGCATGAGGTATAATTTATTTACTGCTAATCTGAATGGCATTGGAGAATTTATCTTTCAGAATATTTATATAATATTGTTATTCAATTTATTCAGCATTTGATGAAATCTGAGACTACTTTCTGACTTCTATTGATTTGATAATTTAAATGGAATAAATTTCATGTGTAAATCAATTTGTTCACCAGCAATAGATACTAGTAAATACGGGGAACACCATATGAACACTTGTGGCCCCTTTTAGACTGTAAGTTCCATTCCTATTTTTTGTGAAATAATATCAGATCCAGTCAGGCTGAAAATCATCCCAAACTAACAGAGCTCAGGCACGGTCACAGGTCTGATGGGTCTGTTGCCTCTTCCCATTTTCTTGGGTGAAACCGACTGTCCTGCATGAAAATAAAATGGCAGGTGAACAACTTCTGAGAGGCTACACTGACTTCCTTTAATATGTCCTCAGGCACGAGGAACAGTAGTGGGGAAAATAGCTAGAAATCGACAACAAAAATTAGAATTCTCTATTCTTTCTTCTGTTGTGGTTTGTGGAGAGGCTGCAGGCTGATTGAGCTTTATTTCATAAGCCAATAGAACCTGATGGTTCACCAATGAGAGAACACTTATTATGGTAAAGGACCTTTAATTTCTAGCTTAAATGGTGCTCATCAGCATCCCCTTTGATAATACTTGCTTTCATTGCAGCCCTGGAACCTGAGACTCCACCACCATCACAGCCGCCAATAGGTAATGAAGTTTGCTTTAGTGAGTGAAAAAGAATTCTCTTTCTTTCACACCCTCTATGTTCAACTTTGTGCTTAGCTTTGGCTTTTCAAAAGATTATTTCTTTGTTGTCCTTCAGATCTTTCTTTCAGCCATTTTCACCAGAAGATAAACTCCCTGCCTGTGCTTAAGTGGAAGCTCTGAGACAGCCATGAAAGCCATACTGATTTTGATTTGTCACATTCCTTGCTGTCCCTCCTTGTATTTGAGCACCATGTCCTGAGCTTGTTTTAACCTGGTTATTTCCCATAGAGGACCATGGCTTCCCCAGGACATATTTGTGCTTTCACTTTTAGAGGTGTTTTTCTTACTTTCAAAACTCTAACATTTGCAGACTTTCTTGAAAAGCATTATGGTCTTTCCAGATCTAAATATCCTGATGTGTCACTAGGAAATTCATTAAATGAGAGAAATATAAAAATTCACCCCAGTCTATGTAGCTTCTTTTCCTTCAAGAGAGCAAAAACTGTTCTGCTAGTGCTGTCTTAGCCAGTTATTCACATTTTCCTTCATAACATGAGCTGTTGGTTACTTTATTGCATTTACATCTTCCAAATGAGAGTCATGCCTTTTTTTTTTTTCCATTTCTCTTTCCAAACTTAACTGACCAGCTGCGTTTTTGTTCATTTTGTCTAAAAACACAGGAATCTATTTACATAAAAAAGGAATGTCTTATATGGATAAAAGTTTCACCATTTATGATTGCTCAACTTAGTACTTAAAAATTAAGCATTTTTTATATTTTACTAAAGTTCATCATTTTTCCGTTGATTTTGATTCCTTCTTGATCATTTTTCGTGCAGTCTTAGAACCTGGAACACTGGGAACTAAACCTTCAGCAACAACATTAGGTAATGCAGTGAGTGACCTACCTTTTTTTCCTTTTCCTGACTGCTGGCATCTCTATTAACAGGCTCACATTAATGGATTTGTTCATTAATGTCCATTTGTGTGTGTGTGTTCTCTATTCCTCTGGAGAAAAATTTTAAATCCTATAGTCTAAAAATTATATCTCATTCTTTAAAAGTTGCCTTCCCTGAGATAATTTGAGAATTCAAAGCCTTTTTGCACATGTTACTGATTTACAGATTTTTTTTTATTGGAGTATAATTGCTTTACAATGTTGTGTTAGTTTCTGCTGTACACTGAAGTGAAGCAGCTATATACGTATCAGTATACATATATCCCCTCCCCCTTGGACCTCCCTCCCACCCCACCCCCCTTCCCACCCATCTAGGTCATCACAGAGCACCAAGCCGAGCTCCCTGTGTTGTACAGCAGCTTCCCACTAGCTATCTACTTTACACATAGTAGTGTATTTATGTCCGACCTAATCTCCCAATTCATCCCACCCTCCCTTTCCCCCACCCCACCCCATGTTGATTTGCAGATTTTTAAATGCTAAGCGAAAAACATTTCCTTTTGAATCTTAGGCCAAATAAATTTTAGTTTTTATCCCTAGTGGCTTCTAAAAGTAACTTTTCTCATGTTCCTGTTAAACATATACCTTCAAAAATTTAATGAGACTGTCTTCTCCAAGCTGTACAAAGTTCTGAATTTTCCACCTCAAAATAGAATAGAGAGATCTTTTGAACAGTTATTTATAAATATTTGGCAAAAAATAAAATAAAAATCCATTATTCAAGACCTCATTTAACTGGGTAAATAATGATAGAAAGTGGCAAACAGAAGGATACGTATCCGCAATAAATCAAAGGACTTAAATGTGCTTCTAATATACACGTAGTATTGATGGTCAGTTTGTAGGGCCACCTTTTGTGTATTAACTAGCTGATTTTCTTTCTTCAGCTCCACCAAAGACCAAACGACCAGGTCGTCGTCCCCGCCCTAAAACCACACCTAGTCCAGATGTGCCCAAGTCCAAACCTGGTAAATGTGATGTTCAGGGTTCCAATTAACATAGAAAGTGGAATATGGTAGTTTCTGATATAGTAGCTACCTACCGCCTAAATAGCTGGGCTTTAGGAACCAGTGTAGTTGATTTTTATGTTTAAGGATCTATACTTTCTAAATTCACGTTTTATGAATACGTTTATCTTTTTATTTGTAGTTATTAAGTATACACAGCAGTAAGCTGGGCCACTAAGTGGATCGTTAAAGTAGGGCACCGTAAAACTTTTACATAGGATGCGTATTCATGGCAGATGAGATGTGGGAAAGCAATAGGGAGAAGAGGGGCAAATGGGAAAAATGAAAAGGAAAATCACATTCAAAAAAAGTACACGGTTTAAGTAAAGATGGAAGAGTAATGTTTCCTTCCTCAAGATGCCGCTTCTTGACATAATTAGTATTTTTGGTGTTTTGCCTCTATAGCTCTGGAACCTGCTACGGTACAACTGGAGCCCTTGGTGCCCACAGTTGGTAATTCTGGTCTCCTCCAATTGCTTTCCCAGGTTGTCACTTTTGCTTTTCCTGCTCTCTGCCCAGGCATGACTGCAATTCTATACACAGTGTCACAGTTTTGTTCCATGCTTTCCCTCACCTTTCCTATCTGGGTCTGAAGAGCCTGAAGATAGGAAACTTCTAGAAGAATTCTGTATGCTAATTCAGGGAAAGTCCATGGTTTTGAACACAACTTCCTGGTTTTCCAGAAACCCTTTGTCCTCCCATCACGTGTCCTCGTGTAGAGAAAACCATCTACTCTTTCTCAGGGACTTCCGTGCTCATCCTGGACTTGGCAAATGGCAATGTTTTATTCCAGTGTCATGATTACCATTTCATTGCTTTACTCATTCAACTTGTAAGACTTTCTCCCTCTTAAATAGCTGCATGAAATAATGGCTCCTTCAGCTTTTCTGTTTCTCTGGGGAATTTTTTTGAGTATGTTTTGATAACCAAAGTCACACACACTGTTCTTTGTCTAGGGTCCAAGATAAAAATAGTATGGTCTTTATAACTTGAGAATATTAAAAGTCTCCAGCTGGTTTTATTGTTTTCAGTCCTAATGCTGTTTTGATTATAATTATTTCATTATAATTTCTCAGCATTCACAATAAATCTGTCACTGGTTTACTTTAGAAAATTCCAGAAATAAATAGCCATGTAACATGCTGTATAATTTCAAGTATCTATGGGTTACTTTCCTGATTTCCTACTAAGCAAGTTTCAGATTTCTACCTTACTGTTTTTATACTGGGGAAAAGAAAAAAAAAAAACCTATCCAGTAAGAAACAGAACTATTACACTTGTCATTTTAGAAATTACTTATACAGAAAAAAGTCTTCTTATAGTTCTCCTTACTTTTGTTGAGAGACACATTTTGAACATTTCCTGAAGGTTTTTTTCTTTCAGAAAAATCAGTAGGAATGGACACATTTCCCACCCTTCCCATCCCAGGAATTAATTTTGTTGTATATTCACTGAATTTATATAGTATCTTTGCTTGAGCATATGTGTCCTTAATTATTGACAGTTACAGCTGTGACCTTAATACTTTTTTCTTTAGCGTCGAAACCATCCGAAAGACCTAAAACTACACGTAGACCAGATGTACCTCAAATCCAGCCTGGTAATCTCTACTTTCAGTGTCTTAATCTATAACTAGGAAAACGGTGTGTAAGTAGCACTAATCTTGACATTCACAGCTCTGACATGACACTAATTGTAGCACCTTTTTCCTTCAGATTCAAAATCACCAAAGCAATTACTTCCTAAACCCAAAACCACAGCAAAACCAGATACGCCACCACCTAAGTCCGGTAAACAATTTCCAGTGCTTCGGCTTAAGAAGCTTTTTCTTTGGGGATGTTGCTGAAGATGCTTACAGTTTGTCACATCATAAAAGCATAGAAACCCAAATGCCATGGTTTTTTTGTTCATTATCTTCTCAAAGTAGCCACACTTGTGTTTCATGTGTTAAATGAACAAATTAATGTTTGGGAAATTAGTAGATTTTATATCGGATTGTCTGACAGATTCCACTCAAAGCATTTTTAGGTTCTGTCTTCTCAATTCGGGTTTGTAATGAATAGAAGCCTGGTTTTTCTGTATCTGGAGCATTTTTGAAAGTGATTTTAGCAGCTGCCACTAGGGAGGCTGACCCTGTGTTCTTCCCTTATAGGCACGTGGAGATTGGCTTTCTCTAAAATACCTTATTGGCTTTTCAAATGGTACCTATGAACTAAGTGATTTTCTACTAAATAAGAAGATATTATATAATAGTTCTGAAAATTCAATTGTTTTCCAAGTGACATTTTCTCCTAAGATGCCAATTAGTATAAAATTCTAATTTACTGAGAGCATCTCTCATAATAAATCTCTCAAGGAGGCAATTTATATCAGCTTAGAATAAACCAAGTTCTGTGTCCTGTGAATTAAGCATCAATGAGCACCTAAAAGTCTAGCTTTCCTTAGTTTTGTTTCCTATATCTGTTTATTTTTTATGGTGCAGTCTTTGAGCCTGTTACATTTGAGAATGAAGCGCCCTCCACAACCATAGGTAACGATGGATGTCTTCCCTCTTGGTCGATGTTTCTCTGAACTTGCCCCTCTCATTTCTGTCACTGTCTGTAGTCTCTTGTGTAAACAATTGCCATTCATCCTCTTTTTCATTCATTCCCAAAAACTGTTTACTATTTTCAACAAGCACCTTTTTAATATACTTAGGCATTCTTACAGCTGCCGCTCAGCTTACAATCCCTGAATGTTTTTTGTTCTTTGATCATCTTCAGAGATAGTCAGATTGCTTGCAGCACTTGATGTTGGCAAGAGTTACAGGTGCTCTCTCCATCCATCATTCAAACCAGGACATTTTTGAAATCTCTGCTTTTATGTATGTATAATTTATGATGTGGGAGAGGGACAATGAGAAAGCTGGTTGGGGCTTGAGAAAATACAAATTGTCTCTTTCTCGCAAAAGTCCTTTCTTCTTGATTCCATACTGTTCGAATGCAACTGGACCTTTCTGTTGATAAATCCGTCCTGTGGTGTTGAATTCCAAACAAAATAGGGATTTTCCTCTTTTGTTTGAAGGCAATCAGCTTTGAATATTGTTTTGTCCTGTGGTTCTCACTTTCTATCTCTTCCGGATGCCATGTTTTCCTTTAGTTCAGAAGATGTTCTCAGATGTGGCTTAAACCAACTCTGTGCTGTGTTATCTTGGACAATCAGCAAAAGGCAATCTCCATATAAATGCTTACAGAGTTTTTGGTGATACGATATTTTAATGTTACATTTAATCTTATGGACTTGAAAAATAGAGACACTATTTTAAAACCAAGGAGTCATAAGTCTTAATTTTATACCAATGTGTAATTCAATCATTTCAGAATATTAGAGAATTAGAGGAATCCTGTTTATTCAGACAAAAGTTGAATTATTACTTTTCAGACCTTTTTCTTTTTCTTTTTTTTTTTTTTTTTTTTTTGCGGTACGCGGGCCTCTCACTGTTGTGGCCTCTCCCGTTGCAGAGCACAGGCTCTGGACGCACAGGCTCCGGACGCGCAGGCTCAGCGGCCATGGCCCATGGGCCCAGTCGCTCCGCGGCATGTGGGATCCTCCCGGACCGGGGCACGAACCCGCGTCCCCTGCATCGGCAGGCGGACTCTCAACCACCGCGCCACCAGGGAAGCCCCAGACCTTTTTCTTAATCATCTCTGTTCCTCACTTGAATAGTTATCTCCCGAGTATCCATTTGAAATAAATGAATAAATAAGGACAAATTGTAGCAAAGAGTATCACCTTTATTGTGGAGAAAGGGCACAAGGTTATCTTTTGCATAACTGTCACAGATCTCCAATAATCAGACTGATTAAGAACATTTTTAAAAATTCTCACCACTACCACCATTTCTCAAAAAAATATATGAATAATGGTGGTGAAAACCTTTCAAATACTAACAGAAGTTTTCATAATAATTTTTCAGAGTAATTTAAAATACATATCAGACAGCTAAGAGATTTTTTTGGAGCCAAGTTTCCAATACAGCTGCAATCAGATAATTAAACACCAAAAAACCTACTTTTCATTGGCCTCACAGGGATGCAAAGTGCAAGGGGTATGGCTGTTTTGTGAGATAAATGGGTACCAGAGTACAGCCAGTTATTACGAACTAATACTCTTTTTCCAGAGTTCATAAATGCTTTTTAAACATTACAGGATTAAAAGGATTCATTTTCAAGATAATTTTGTTTCTTTTCCTATGTTTCTTAAATCTCCATTGTTTATTGTATTGCTTTTGGTCAGTTCCTGCCAGAGACATTGAACCTGTAACTCTGAGAACTGAGGCTCCTTGGACAACATTAGGTAACGACCTTTGATGTCTTCAGGCAAGAGCATTTTCTGTTCATGGTCCAGTCAATTCCATTACTATGTTGGTCAAAGGGTTTTCTCTTCTGTAAGATTTTTTCATCATCCCTTTTTGTCACTCAGCTATATTCTTTCATTTTGAACATATTGAAGATGTTTAAAATAAGTCACTTGGTTAGAATATAAGCATCTCTGAAGCTAGTGCAGAGTATCTATCACCCACATTATCCAGCTTTCTTAAAGCTTTACAGAGCCAGTGGTTCTGCTGAATTCCAAACGCAGTTAGGAGTCTCTGCCCTATGAACATCAGGTATAATTCTGTGGCCATCAAAAGAAAGTTGTTTTAAGATATTCCAGGCATTTTTATGGTCTACCAATGATTTTAAGAAATGAGATGTGTTTAGTCTAATAATGTTTAATGGGATGTATGCCTAAACCAAGTCATTTCTAAATATAATCTCCCCAAAGCAGGTGAGCCTGTGTCCCTCTCTAATGCGATGTAGACGTGCTGTGCTTCTGACGTCCCTTGGATCAGGGTTCTCTTTGAAAATCTGATACCAGCAATAACAGTAAAGTTTTCAGATAATTAAAATAATGTTATATGTTCTTTCTCAAAAGAACTGTCAGCAGACAACCCCCCACAACTTTTTTTTGGCATATGGATGACAAAGAAAATTCCAAACCCCAGAGACAAATTTCTCAAGACTCCAGAAAATCTAGCAAAATTTTATAAAACCTAGAGCCATGTATCATCCTTTTTTTCTGGAGTCATAAGACAACATTAACCAGTTTCCTTTCTTCAGCTCCAAAAACATCACAAAGAACAAGAAAACGTCGTCCACGTCCACGTCCCAAACATAAAACCACGCCGAGCCCAGAGACACCTCAGGCCAAACTAGGTAAATATGTGGTTCCTGGTACCTGTGGAACCTTGTTGGATGTGATACTGTGGTGGGAGTGTAACTCGCTGCCTAGTAACCCTGCGATCCTTCAGGATGGATGCCCAAGTTACAAGTGCTCTAGTCAATTCATGTGACTTCCTCACGCTACTTAGTATCTTCTTGGTACCTTGTATTTGCTTCTCTCACCATTCGATTACATTTTCTCTTTGATTCTGGCTCCGCAAAAATGTATCTAGTTGAGTATCTAGCCTATTTAGTTCAATTAGTCTCATATTTAATGAACTGCCACATTAGCATTTGTGAGGAATAGTTTAGAAATAACAAGGGACTTGGCTTCATTGAGGGAGGAAGCTGCTCTTGTGTGAAACTGTTCATATGCAGATAGAAAGGAAAATGGGCTAAAGCAACATATTTATTGAGTTTTACCAACTGTTAGTTAATTCTTAGAGAAGTGAAAGATCCATGGGGGTGATAAGTGTCATGTGGACCTTTGAAATGTGTATAGTTTGTAGATTTGTTGGAGGGATGAGCAGGAATAACAAACAGAAGCTGGAAGGTGCCATATGTGTGGATGACAGCAGAAGGATAGGACTTGGAAGTAGAACTTGATTGTGAGAAAGGAGAAGGGCAATGTTTACTTGGCTGGTGCTCAGAAATTGTGGTCAGCAGTGCTACTTTTAGATGGGTCTGTGAAGAGGACCTGAGTGCCTGACTTCAATGATTGGATTTGAGCCACTTGGCTGCAGCGTACTCTCCAGTCAGCCCTTTTCTGTCCTGATAACAGAGAGATGAACTGACAAGTTTTGTAGACTGAATGACCCTTTGTATCTTGCTCTTTTATATGGCTTTGTTTGGACAGAGGTCTTGGTCTTTTACCAAAGCGGACTCTTAACAAAAAGGAACGTTGTCTATTTTGGTTATTCATTACCAATATCTGCTTAAATATATCAACAATTGCATCTATCATGACATAGATGTAATTGTTTGTTTTCCAGTATATTGTGTTATAAATTATACTTTCACATTCTTTTCTTACAGTTGTTAACCGTAATGTTTTTAGACAGATGCCTAAAGATTTTTCTAAGCAGAGTTTTCCATTATATTATCAGATGATATAAAAAGCAATACTTGTAGGTAACCATGTAGGGATAATAAGGGTATAACCATTTCATAATATCATATATCTTTGTACCCTCACCTTGGAACTTTGAAAATTTTGCTTTCTGGCCGTAGAACCACACTACCCTAGTGAAGTTCATTTTCAAGAGAATTTGGTGACTTTTCTTATGTGTTTAACAATTCTTTTTTTTAATTGCTTTCGATCATTTCTTGCTACAGACCTTGAACCTGTTACTACTGGGACATCTTTAGGTAATGATCCTGTACATCCTTCAGCAAGTGCTTTCTTTACTTGTTGTCAGACTTATCTATGTTCTGTAGAGACAATGATGTCATAATTTATTGTCATCCTATTGCTGTGTTCATCTTAAAATATAAAAGGCCTTCTAACATTAATGTGTATAAACTTTAATTCAACACATCTATTTGCTGCATCTCCCAGCTTGTAATTGCATCATGTCAATCTGAGTCTCTGTTTAAATAGTACTGTTTGTTAGAGCTGGGGGCTAAATGTGATTCTCCGTATATTCTTTATTTAGACCACCAATATAGTGTCAATTATGATACCATGAAGTTTCTTTAAGCATCTTACTTTCTATATTTCAAGTTCTACATAACTTTTTTTTTTTTTGCTTTATTGATGTTGCACCTAATTTTGTGTAGTTATTTTAGTAAATTACCAAGTGGAAAATTTGCCCAAGACTAGTTGTTTTAAATTATAAGTGAATAGTATAGGATGGTTTGAACTTCTCTCATGCTTTCACAGTTTAGCGTGATTTCTCATTAGGGACGCTTTCAAGAAAATGATAGTCCCTCATCTTCATTTCTTAAACATAATTATAATATAATTTTTAATCTCTAGAGAATTCTCAATTATAAAAGAAAACCTGTTAATATATTAAAGGATAAAATTTTAAACCAAAGTAACAAAGGTGTCTCCCCTCAAAAGAACTCTGGCAAGTTTTAGAAGGCTTAGAGCCCGGTTTTATCATCCTATTCAGGGGTAATGGAGTCACCAGCACTATAATAATCCTAACTTTTCTTCCTTCAGCTCTAACAACAACAAAGAGACCCCGTCGTCCACGTCCCAAACCTAAAACCACGCCCCATCCAGAAGTACCTCAGACCACACTGGGTAAATATGCAGTTTCTGGTTTAAGGAATCCAAGCATTCTACCCCAGCTGGGACCCTGAATTCTGTGCACATAATCGGTACTTGCCTTATATATCTCTTAAGAGTAAACACTATTCTTCTTATTAATCCCTTCTATATCCCCATAACCATATTAGCACCTGTGAGACAAATCAGAAGTAGGAATTATGCTTTATTTCCCAAACATTTTGTACTATAGTTGTAAACAAAAGCTGTTCCTGCATAAACAGGTAGAAAATAACATAGGGCAGCATGTGTATACAAATGTAAAATAATTTCTGAAATAGTACAAATGATATATGCTAGAAATATAGTAAATATTTGGAGCAGGAAAAGATCCAGGATAATTAGGGGAAAAAATCAGTGCAGAATTTGGATGAGTGAAGGGTTGAGGGAACAAAGGCTGATAAACAGGGAATGTGCTGAAGGAAGCTGGTGACCAGACAGAGGATGACTTGTTGATAACACTCCTGTTGAATGGGCCTCTATAGGATGAAATAAAGGGGACTGGGATGTCTACTCAAGAGCTTAAGTTTGATCCAGTGGGCTTCACTGATCTTACTTCTACACAGGACCATGCTTTTTCTATTCTTAGAACTGAAGATGCTTAGTTTAATATGATACCACAAACTGAGAGGTTGTTCCTCACCTTATTATATTAAATGCCACTCTCTTCACTAAGGACTTAGTGAGTATGGTCTCAGCTTCTTTTTGGCTCTCTGTTCTATGTGTGGTGGGCAGACCCTAGGGTGAAGCCCTACTCCCCACCGCCTCTACCTCTCACCTCCCACCCCTATAGTTCCTGCCTCTTGGTTTTAAACTTTTGTGTAATCCATCCTTGCCCTTCCCTTTTCCCCTTTGAAGCATTATTTTTACTGTTAAGATGAATTTTCTGACATTTCATGCACTCACAAAAATCTCTTTGATTTCTTTTCTTACTTTTGATCAGTTCCTGCCACAATCCCTGAACCAGTTACTCTTAGGACCGAGGCTCCAGGGACGACCGTAGGTAATGACACATTATGTCCATAAGCATCTGCTCCTACTCATTTCAGACCCATTTCGCCACTGTCATAACCACAAGACACTGTGTCATCCTCTGTTGTCATTACCACAAGACTCTGAGTCATCCTCTGTTGTCATTCAATTACTTCCTAATATATTGAAGAGTATTAAAACAACTCATTTGTTATTCAAAGAATCAAGTATGAACTTAGCTTAGTATACATATCTGTAAGGCAATGCGTTTGAATTTGTGGCATCTCATCCCTATGTAACCTTTTAATCACATTCTGTGTTACTGAGTTTCAGACACTATCAATGGGGGTTAGGGGTGGGAGTGTCTGTCCTTGATCCAAACTGAGTACAGTGTCACAGCCATTATGGTGTGATGTAATTCTTATGCAGATCTAAATTCCTATATTTTTTACTACGTGCACGATTTTGTTTTTATTTTGCCATTTTAGATAATGATAGTCTTTTTTCACTAAGGAGTGAAATAGAAAATATGTCCAAGGCTAGTAAATTGAAGTTACCAGCACCATCATTAGTGTAAAGTCACCCTACCCCTTCCCCACCATCACAATAATTCAGTAGGTTTTTGGAAATTTTTTCATTCCAAAATCCCTTCTGAGAATATCCTTGATATATCAACTCAGGTTTCTGTGTGATTTTTGTTTTTCACAGTAATATAAGTGATAAAAAGAGGCAATCATCAAATACGGACAAATGTTTCAAACTCAAAAGAAAAATTTCCTGCAATTCAAGAAATTATAACAACTATAATCCTATCCACAGCTTCTGAAACTAAAAACACTCTATTAACCTGAAGTTTTTTTCCTTTAGCCCCCAAAGTGCCTCAGCGAACTCATCATCCACATCCCAAATCTGAAACCACACGGAATCCTGAAACACCTCAGACTGAACTGGGTAAATGTGTAGATCCTGATTGAGGAATCCTGCAGCCCATCCCTGTGAGGTCTAGAGAAAGTGAAGGGGCAAGTCAGGGCCAGCGGCCACTTTCACTCCAGAGCAGACAACCAGAACACAGTCGGACAGGTCTTAGGGGGTAGCCAAATTCCTTCCCCTTTGTGAATTAGAATCTTCTCTCTAAATGTCTATTTCATTGGCTTCTCATTCAATTCTATCCATCCTTTATATATTGAATGTGTGTAGTGGACTGAAACAGCTATAGGTCAAACATATATTTGGGCAAATAGACTATTTCTTGGTAACTATTAAAGTTGTATAAGTCATAGTACAGATCTAAGGCAGGAGTTAGCAAATATTTTCTATAAAGGGCAAGATAGTAAATACTTGGGGCTTTGTGGCCTCAATAATCTCTGATGTATAGTTTTCTTTTCTCCCCCCCTTTTTTTTTTTTTTAACAATCACTTAAAAATGGAAATGGGCTATATGAAAACAAGCCATGGGCAACGTTTGGCCTATGGGCCATAGTTTGTGGACCCCTGGTTTAAAGAAACAGTCAGGGTGGGCCAGAATAGTTAGGAAGGGCTTGAGCATTGAAATCACTATAGATTTGGATGGCTGGGGCGCGAGAGGGTGGGGTGAAGAAGTTCAGAAGACAGGACCTGTGTGGAGGCCAGCGAGAGGAGACAGAGGCTTCTCGGACCAGTGAAGGCTGTCAGCTTCTAGGTGCTGATCAGAGCATTTTATTGAAGCTGTTGTAGCTAAATGGGCTCAAAGGACCAGCTGAAAAGGAATTTTTACTCTTGGACTTAGGAGTTTGGGTTTCATGTAAGAATCATCATTATCCATACATGGTAGGCTTTCCCGGGCATGAGACAGAAGGATACAGCTGAACCACAGGCTGAATGGCTGCCCTTTATCTTGCTCTCTTAAGTACCCCAGTTGGGCAAAGCTTGTTGTCTCTTTCCAAAGATGAGTTTCTAGCAAGATGGGGAGGGTCTACTTTGGCACATTACCTAGACTAGGATCATCACAGAATGAGAAACTTCAGGGACACTTCTCAGGGACAGTTATCTGAGTACAGAGACAATCCTTCCTGAGTGATAAACTGGTACCCGAGTGCAGACACACCATATCCCTCTGAGACTGTATAAATGTTTAACATTTTTTATTATTATTTTTGGTCAGTTCCTGCCACAGTCCTTGAAGCAGTTACTCCTATCAAAGAGGCTCCAGGGACAGCATTCGGTAATGCCACTTTCTGACCTTCAGCAAGCACTTTTTCTGCTCAGTGTCAAACTTCTGCCCATTCCCCTCTGTCGCCATTTAGTTACATTCTTTATCTTGTGAGTGAAATGTGCATAAAGCAAGGTACTTCTTATTCTAAAGAGAGTCATCCCTGGATCTAGTTTGGGATATCTTCCTGCCCTGTAACTTAATTAAAATTTTTTTCAGTTAAAATTTTTTTCAAGCCAGTTTGCTTTTAGCTCAACCAGAGTTCTCTGTTAAGGTAAATTTCATGTGTTTATAAGAGTGCCTGATCCTGATCTATGCTAACCAGGCTGTGACAGGGAAGTTTCTTTATACATCCTTTATACACCTGCCTTTTTTATCTGCCTGGTTTTTTTTTTTTTTTTTGCTGTACGCGGGCCTCTCACTGTTGTGGCCTCTCCCGTTGCGGAGCACAGGCTCCGGACGCGCAGGCTCAGCGGCCATGGCTCACGGGCACAGCCGCTCCGCGGCATGTGGGATCCTCCCGGACCAGGGCACGAACCTGTGTCCCCTGCATCGGCAGGCGGGCTCCCAACCACCGCGCCACCAGGGAAGCCCTATCTGCCTGGTTTTTTTGTTGTTTTGTTAACATTTGGGTAATATGTTTTTAGTGAATTGTCTAACATAATGTGATCAAGGCTAATAAGTTTAAATAGTAAGCCCCATCCTTAAGGTGAATCTGACTCCCCCTTAATCTCCACCATAGTTTAGAAATGATTCTTAACCTTTTTAATGCAGGCAGGGGACTCTAGGAGAATGTGTTAAAAGATACCAATCTTGACTCTCTGAATTAATAATTCATTTTAATGTGTCAACTTTGTCCCCCAAAGTATCTTCAATAACAAAGGAAGATACAGTAGCATAGTAGGGCCAAACTTTTCACACTAGAAAGAAACATTTCCTGAAACTGAAGAAAATCTATCAAGCTTTGGAAAATTTAAAGAAGATTCTGTTCAAAAACCTGTAAGTTGCAGAAGCTTTAAAGTAACAGAAATTTATCTTTTTCTACTTCCAAAAACATCCCAGCGGACATGTCATTCACAACACAAACTTAAAACCACTCCAAGTTCAGATGCGGCAGAGATTACACCAGACAAAAGCAGGGCCCTTGGCTTAAGGAGCCTGGCAGCCTGTCACTGGTTGAAAATGTAAACCCGTATACTCCCTAGTGAGGGAACCATGAAGAGTCCTTGCCCCTTCAGAACTGGCAAGGAGTTCATGTTTGGAAGAGACATAACCTTCTCTCCAATTCTGGATAGTAAGAGACATGTTATACTTCTCAGTCTGCAGGTTAGTTGAGCACAAACGCTTTTCTTGTGTGAAAATCCTAGAGGATGAAAACAGGGCAGGGTGTTTTTGCAAATTCAAGATTTTTCTTAGGTACACAAACATTAAGTGTAGACTGATTATAGTGGCTCTTTTTTTTAAATGGAAATATATATATTTTATTTTTTAACGCACATATAATCCAAAATGGGTGCTTTTGATCTTTAGTTCTTCCCTAACTGGTGATGGAGGGACCCCAAATTCTCTCATCTCATACATCTATAGCAAGTCTTAAAGAAGCGAAAAATCAACGTGGGCTTCAGTAGAGCAGAGAAGGAGTTTGGGCCTTGACGTCACATCAGAAATTGCACGAGTGGATAGGTGAGAGTGAACAAGATGAAAACATAGGATATAGAGAGAGGCAACCAGAGGGGGCAGAGTCCCTGCTTCTTCTAAGTGCCAGGCAAAACATTTTTGTTGGTGATGATGCATTTGAATGACACTAGTTGAATAAGGCTAGTATTGTTCTTAATGAGCATCAGAAGTCTCTTCTTCCCATACTTGGATAGTTTTCCCTGTACTGAGAGTGGACAGGTGCTTTACTGGATGCCACAGACTAAGAAGTTGCCTCTTACCTAGTCTTCTTGTCTGGACAGAAGTCACAAGATCTTTCCAAAGCTGAGTTCTCAGCAAGATTATCAGAACAGTTTTTGGCTATTTGTGTAATGGCTGCTTGGTTATTTAGGAACTTTTTCTGCAACCATAATTTGATAAACATAGTAGATATTTTCTTTATTCAGCATCCACAGAAGTACAGGTTAGTTTTTCACGTGCTTCTTGAGGGTTGTTAGAAACATATTTAAGTAAAAGCCTAACAATATCCTAAAGTCTACCATAGCAGACTCAGATATTCAAGCACTAACTACGGGAACTGTTTCCCTTTTGTGGTGCTAAACAGAGACCGAAGGTAATGACTATCTCATGAGATGAAGAAGTCCCTAACTACAGTTTGGCCAAGTCTGAGCACAACAATTGATTTCCCTTTCTATTAGTCTGCTGGGGCTGCTGTAACAAAATACCACAGACTGGGTGGCTTAAACAACAAATCTGTTTCTCACAGCTATGGAGGCTGGAAGTCTAAGATCAAGGTATCAGCAGGTTTAATAGGTCCTGAGGTCCCTCTCCTTGGCTTGCAGATCGCTACCATCTTATTGTGTCCTCCCAGGGCCTTCTCTCTATGTGTGAGCGTCCCTGTGTCTCTCCCTCTCCTTTATAAGGACAGTAGTCCTATTGGCTTACAGCCCCACCCTTATGACCTCCTTTAACCTTAACTTCATCTTTAAAGACCTAACTCCAAACACAGTCACATTGGGAGTTAGGACTTCAACAAATGAATTCTGAGGAGAGGCAATTCAGTCCATAACACCCTTCATTCAGAAATTTTAAAAAAATATTCTAGAGGCAATGTTACACTGGCAAGATTCATTTTGACATGAATGTTGGAGCTCTTCATACACATTTTTTTAAAAACCTCTTTTGTTTATTCAGTTCCTGTTACAGACCTTGAACCTGTTACTTTTACAACTGAGACCTCTGGGACCACATTAGGTAATGACCCTGTGCCACTTGCCTAGATCTTTTGCTGCTCCTTGTACAGTCTGTTCAGTCTCCATCCTCATCACATGGCTTTTCCTCTTTCACGAGATGACCACTATCATCCTGCACTGCCATTCGGCCACTGTCTTCACTTGAAGAGCCCTGAAGCCTCTTAAAAACAAGGTTCCTGTTGTTTTTAGGAGAGCAGGCATGAGCTTAGTTCAAAACGTTTACCTGCCACGTGGGGCATTTGAAATCATCACATCGCCTTGTGCTTCGTTGAACAGTGTTCTGTGTTAAAGCTGAGTTTCAAACAAATTGGGATCTATTTCCTCTCTAGGCTGATCAGCAATAACAGCTACTCTTAAGCTCCTTTGCCATCTCAGTTTCTCGATTTTTAAAAAAACTATTTGCATGGTATGTTTGTTTCTTTGTTGGTGTTTTAAGTAATGATGTGTTTTATTACTAATTTGACAAATAGGCAATTATCCAAATCTGAAGTTAGGGTCTCACTGTGACCCTAACTTCCCCTCCCCTTGCACCAGAACTGGTCCTTCTCATTTTTCTCCCAGTGAGGAATTTCTATGAGTATCTGATTACAAGTGCTAATTTTCATGCCTTGAATGAGTAATTTGACTGTAAACATGAGTTTGCCTCCAAAGTACCCTCAACCTTAAAAAAAAAAGATGCATTGGCATAAAATGAGTAAAAATTTTAAACTACAAATTCATGGAACTTTAAAAACTCTAACAGGTTTTGGAAAAACCTCTCCTCAGTACCCAGAGCCATACAATGTAGAATAACATAAGGCTTTCCTTTCTTTAGCTACCAAAGCATCAAAAAGACCTCGTCGTCCACGTCCCAGACCTAAAACCACACCAAGCCCTCAAGTACCTCAGACCAAACCGGGTAAATGTGTGATTCGTTGGTTTAAGGGTGAGCCATAGTAACCTGTCCAATTGAGGACGCAAAGCAGTGCCAAGCTCATATTCTCTGTAAGCATGAAGTCATGAGGCATCATCAGTAATGTCTCCTCTACCAGGTGTTGAGGAGAACATGACTGGGTGAGATACAGTTGGTGCCAGAATACCATATTCTTTTTATGTGTGAGTCTTGACATACATTTAGTATAGTTTTTACTATAAAATTCCAGTTTTACTTCTTTAGCAAAGCCAATATATTACGTTCAAGTAAATAAACAAATTGTAAGTACCTTGCAAATTCCTGGACCAATATTGCCAACTGTGGGTGATATGCCAGCTGTGGGAGACATTTCATTTCTAAAACTGTAAAGTTGAGAATATGTTTGCATGGTACAAGGGAAAAGATCAAGGTGGACTGCACTTGGACCTTGGACCTTGGGCTTTAGGCCCACTACAGGATTTGAATGCATGGAGGGAAATGTGACCCAAGGCAGAAGAACCAGAAGTGTGGTGGTTGGGGGTACCTAGAACAGACTGTCCTACTTCTCATGGTCAAAACCTGGCTGTTGATGATGCTACATTTGGATGGATCCATCCAGTCATTTGAAAGAGGATTTTGAGGACCTGGTTCAAGAGCTTAGATTTGATAGAGAGACATCAACAGTCTTTGATTTCCACTTTTTCTGGGCTTAGGCCAGAGAGATACTCTACTGAGTATTTCAGACTGAGTAACCATCTTTATCCTGCTCTTTTATTTGTCATGGTTTGGACAGAGGTCTCAGACTCTTTCCACAGACAAGCTCTTAGCAAGACCAACACCGTCCACATCAATGATTAATTTTTATATCTGTTTCAAACTTATAAACTGTCTGTTGTATCCATGTTTACTTAAACACAGTAAGGGCTTGTTTTCAGCCTCCATAGAAGTACAGGTTGATCAGATTTTTTTAAAGACAGTTTCTTTTTTCAGTGTACATTAGGTAAATGCCTAAAAATATTTTCCAGTGCAGAGTTTTCCATATCAATTAGAATCCATTAGTTAAAACCTAGGAGAATTTCATGTTGACTCAAGATATTTCCAGGGATAAGCCTAAGACTGACCATGACTATCGTTTGGCCAAATGTTCAAAGAACAATCCTCTACTCCTTCTCTGTTTTTTTTTTTTTTCTTTGTTTCTGTAGAAGGAATGATATATAAGCAAGTTTTGTTGGGGTGTGAATGTTCTAACTTTTCATGTATTTTTAAATCTCTTTGGTTTACTGTATTGTTTTTTTGGTCAGTTCCTGCTACAGTCCTTGAACCTGTCACTCTTAGACCAGAGGCCCCCAGAACAACATTAGGTAATGATAAACTGTGTTTTCAACGAGACTTATCCTGCTTGTTGTCAGACCCACAGTTTCATCTTGCTCCATGTAACAACAGTTTTATTCTTTGTGGCCATTCAATTACATTCTTCTTAAAATTATGAAAACGCTTAAATTACCTGTTCTTTTTAATAGAACTAGTCATGTGTGACCCTACTTTAGGATATTTATTTGCCACGTAACCTGTTTGAAATTGTGTCATTCTGTGTTTTATTCCAGCGGTGCTTGTGGTAAAACTGGTTTTCGAACACATCCCGATCTCCCTCTTATCTAGACAGATAAAGTCATCAACAGCTCTCATAGGGCCAGGAGGATCCATTCGTTGCACATCTACATTTCTACCTTTTTTCTATTTGCATAGTATTTTGTTGTTTTGTTTCCATTTAGGTAATAATACGTTTTTATTTTAATAATTAGAACATGTACGAAAGATTGGAAGATTAAATTATAAACTTCAGATTGAGTATGACTATTCTTCATTATCCATTAAAATTTAGCAACAGTTCTTAACCTTTTTGTTGCCCAGTCAAGCCGCTCTATGAGACTTTGATTATAATTACTAATCTTTATTTCTTATATTAAAAAGTGATTTTTGTCTTCAAAGAATCTTCTTTGGTAAAAGAAGATATAAAAGGAGTTATGTATGTGACAAAAATCTCAAACTAAACAGGCAAAAATCTAACAAGGTGTAGAAGATCTAGAGTCATGTTTTTTGCCTCCCGTAGCTTCCAGAACCATGGGTGATGTAGTTATGTAATAACCCAAGAATTTCTTCCTTCAGCTTCCAAAACATCACAACAGACAATTCATCCACATCCACATCCAAGTCCTGAAGTACCTGAGTCCAAACCAGGTAAACTTGTGTTCCTGGTTTAGAGTCCCAACAACCTAACCCAGCAGGGTGTTGAGTAATCCCAGTTTTGGGGAGTAACCAATACGCCCCATGAGAGTAAAGATACAACTCGTATTAAGCTGCAGTTCCCACTGTGGAGCTGGCAAGAAGAGCACAGTAGGGGGAGATCTGTGGGGCAGCTGAATGCCTCTTGCTTCCTCTGTAAAATCTTTGTCACTGTGCATTTTATTAAATTCCCTTTATCTCTTGAAAATAAAGCTTCTTGTGAAAAATTAGGCATATTCAGTTCAAACTGACAAACACTAAGTGCCTTCAGTATCCTCCAAGTTGTATACCTCTAAAGATGCTAATGTATCAGATGTGGGAGACATGTTTTAGTCCTCAAACCTGCAAGACAGTTAAGAACAAAAGCATTTCCTTTGTAAATAAAATAGAAGATGGCATTAGGCAGCATCTATGCAAATACAAGAATGATATTTGGGTGCTACCAACAAGATGTGCTAGGGACATAAATATTTGGAGCAGGGAAAGATAAATTTAAAAAGAGTGGAGCCTTGAAATCATCCTAGTACATAGATGAGTAGAAAGATGGAAAGGAATAAAATCAGAAAGAATGGATATAAGTAGAGACCAACCAAAGGAGAAAGTCTAACTGTAATACTAGTATAAAGGATGTCTGACTTCAAGGTGGTAGTCAAAGCTTTTCTAGATCTTGATTGGTCCATGGACTCCCATGGTGGAGATCTTTAGGCACCTGATGAAGCAGTTGAGATTTGATCAAGTATATATCAGCAAGCTGTTCTTTGCTCATGAAGGCATGTTCTTTCTTTGCTTAGTCTGGAGGGATACCCAATTTGATTCATCATGCTGAGGCCTCAGCTTCTTTCCAAAGATAAGTTCTTAGCAATACCCACACATCCCACATTGGCTTATTAGTTAGAATCAGATCATCAAAGAAGGAGGAATAAGGAAATAGGTACCTGACTGAGGTATGGCTAATTTTTAGGAAATCAACTTTTACTCTTCTAGTTTAAGAGTTTTTATAAGTTGCTATGTAGTTCTAGAACCTATATTATACTAGTAAGATTCTTTTTGAAGTAAATATTTTGAGTTTATTTAAAACAATCACTTGGTTTATTTTTAATACTTTTGGTCAGCTCCTACTGCAGACTTTGAACCTGTTACATTCAGAACTGAGGCTTGGGTGACAACACAAGGTAATAACACATTGTGATCCTCTCAAACTCATTCCATCAACATTGAAGCTACAGGTTCTTTTGCTTCATAAAGCTACATTGTCATCCTCTGTTGTCACTCCATGATATTCTTCATCCTAAAAGAATTGAAGTCTCTGACTCTTAAAACAAGTTATTCCTTGTTTTTAAGAGAGCCGTGCATGAACCTAACTCAGGTCAACTGTTATACATGTAATCATCTGAAATTGTTTTTGTCATCTTGTATGTTTTTTAACCAATGTTTTGTAAAAGCTGGGTTTAAAAAGCAATTCTCTTGACTCTAACGACTGTTATGGTGTCAGGGAGGGTTCTTTGTGGATCTAAAGGTCTATTGTTTTTTTTAACTGTGATATTTGTTCTTTAACTGACATTTTAGTTAATGACATGGTCTTATTTTAGTAAACTGTCAAAGAGTTTGTACCTGGCTATCACCACTACCATAATATTTTAGCAGTGATTCTTATCCTTTTTATTCAAGCAAGAGTTCTATGAATGATTCTTCACTTCTTGAATTATTCTTCACTACTATAATTGACTCATTGCCAATGAACTTTAACTTGTAAAAAAAAAAACCATACTATTATAATAAGGGTGAAAGTTTCCAATTAAAAAGTTACAAAGACACATTTCCTAAAATATGAGGAAATCTAATAAGTTTTAGGAAACCTAGAGCCATGTGTCATGCTACCCATAGCTTCTGAACTACAGACTCTATAGTAACTGAAGGTTTTCTTTCTTCAGCTCCTAAAACATCAAAACGGACCCGTCGTCCACGTCCCAAACCTAAAACCACACCAACTCCTGAGGCACCTCAAACCAAACTGGGTAAATGTGGGTCTCTCGTTAAAAGACTGAGTCCTTGCAGCTCTTGGGAGTCTGGGTTTGATGCTAGTAGTGGGAGTGATAGCCGCTGTGAGCCCCATGTGGGTAAAGGCACAAAATGACCTGCTGCTGCTTCCCCATTAGCAAAGGAAAACATGATGGGGGAGACGCGCGTGGCAGCTGAATTCCCTGTGCTTTCTACACAAGGATCTACTCTTTTACTATGTATTTTATTTGCTTTTTCTTATTCCATTTCATTCTTCTCTTAGAAAAAAATGTCTTAAATAGAACCAAGCATTTTTATCTCAAGAGACAAACACGAAGTGCCTTCCGTCTCCCCACAGCCCATCAAGACCTGTGAGGATATCACAGAAGCTGGCGGCTTGTTTTTACTTTGCAGTCTGTAGTAGAGTCAAATTCAGAACCTGCCTCAACGTGAAACATTAAAAGATTGAACCAAGGCAGTGTGTCTGTGCAAACTGAGCTGGTTTTTTTTTTTGGTACGCCGGCCTCTCACTGTTGTGGCCTCTCCCATTGTGGAGCACAGCCTCCGGACACGCAGGCTCAGCGGCCATGGCTCACGGGCCTAGCCGCTCTGCGGCATGTGGGATCTTCCCAGACCGGGGCACGAACCCGTGTCCCCTGCATCGGTAGGCGGACTCTCAACCACTGCGCCACCAGGGAAGCCCTGAGCTGTTTTTTGTAGGGGTTATAAACATCTCTGAGCTGAAAGAGAGAAAAGTCTGTGAAGGACAGGAATAAGGAGTTGGAACGAGGTTGGGTCTTAAAATCATGGAGATAGACAGAAAGTAAGGTGTAGAGACCAACCAGAGAGCACAGACTTCTGGAATAAGGGAGGTTCTGCTTCCAAGAGGTGATGAATAGTACTGAGTTTGGATGGGTCCATAGGAGCAGTTGAAGAAAATCCTTGAAAGTATGACTCAGAAGTTTGGGTCTGACCCTAGAAGCATCAGTGATCTCTTCTGCAACTGTCTCTCCCTCCTATCTAGGGTATGGAATTTATGTGATTAGAGCAGAGAGCTGCTCTTCTGGGCATCACACACTATATGTTCTTTATCCTGATTTGCTGAGTGCCTTTGCCTCAAACAAGGTCTCAGCCTATTTCTAAATATGAGCTCTCAACAAGATCTGCAAGATTCACTTTGCTTAATTCTTTTCTATGGCTCCTTTCAAACACGAAAGCTATTTATTGTATCCATGCTTATTTAGACATGCTATTTTCTTTCTTTTCTTCCAGTTTTATTGAGATATAATTGGCATACAGCACTGTATAAGGTTAAGGTGTACAGAATAATGATTTGACTTATGTACATCGTGAAATGATGACCACAATAACTTTACTTAGTTTAATCCATCATCTCGTGTAGCTACAAAATTAAAGAAATAGAAAAAAAGATATTTTTCTTCCTTGTGATGAACACTTGGACATGCTGTTTTCTTAAAGCTTCCACAGAAAAGCCAGCTGCCATAACAGTTACATAAGTATACATTTGGTAAAATGTTTAAAGTTTCCTAGGTCAGTCTTCTACAATGATTGGAATTAGGTACTTAGACACCTAGGAGAATATCATGTTGACTTTATTGAGATATTTATCAGTTTGTGTAGGCTGTGACTATCTCATAAAGAAAGTTTACCTGGCTTTAGGTGACCAAATCTTTAATATCAAGTATGCAATTTCAGAAAAATAATTTCAAATTGTAATATACCTATTGAAGCACTATTATACTGGTAAGATTTAATTTGCTGACTTTTCACATGTGTTTATTTCCTTGCTTTTGACTAGTTCCCACTGCAGATCTTGAACCTGGTACTTTTAGAACTGAAGCTCCAGAAATCGTGGGTAATGAGAATGCGTGTCCTTCAAATAGTGCTTTTCCTGCTCATTGTCATACCATTGTAGCCACAGGTTCTCCTGCATCTTAAAACCATTTCTATACCCTCTGTTGTCATTCCATTACAGTCTTTACCTTGCAATTTTGCTACGTTCTATGTCAGGTTATCTGTTGAATTTAAGAGAACTGTGTGTATACTAATTTCAGGATGTCAAACTGCTATGTAACCACTCAATGCTGTGTCATGTGATCACGTGCATTTGCTTAAATAGCATTGGCTATTTTAAGCTTCCTTTCAAACATGAATTTCCATCTATCCCTTATTTTCATCACTTGCTTTTTCCTCATCAATTGTGGAAATACCATGTTTTTTTGATTGTGTTACTTTTTATTGAATTAGTATCTATATGATTATATTGGTAGATCTCTTGTTTCAAGGAATGATGTTTTTAGTTAATGGTCAAATTTTTGAATGTGCCTGAGTCTTGAAGGTTTAAATGATGGGCTTTTGTGATAGAGTAGGCTGACTCTTCCTCCTTCTCTAACAGGGTTTGACGGAGTTTCTTAACTTTTATTGAATCAAGGACCACTTTGAAATTTTGATGAACACACTCCATTTGTTACATTGATCCTTATACTTTCAAACATATGAGCTCATTATTGTACCCACGATTATTGAAATAGTAGACATTTATGTCAACTTGTATAGAAGTACGAATAGACTGATAAATGCTTTTTCCAGTAGTTAGAAAAGTATATATTATATAAATGTGTAAAACGCTTGTCCAGCAGAGTCTTTCATACCAGAATCAGATAATCAAACATGTAGAATTTCTTGTTGGCCATAGTGATATTGAGCAAAGTGCAATGGTGTACCTATTTTATGAGATTAATTGATATTCACCACAATTTGGTCAAATTTGCAAAGAACAAGTGCGTGTCTCTTTTCTCTCAGTCCTGAAGCTTCACAACTGGCTCCTGAAATTAGTCTTCAAGTGAATTTTTAAAATCTCTTTGGTTTATTTTATTATTTTTGGCCAGTTCTTCCTACAGTCCTTGAACATGTCACTCCTAGAACCAAGGCTCCAGAAACAACGTTAGGTAATGATATTCTGTGTTCCTCAACAATTTTTTCCTGCTCATTGTCAATCCATTCTATCATCATCATCATTGTAATAACATTATCACCAGCTTCATAAGACTATCTTGTCATCCTCTGCTGTTCTTCAACTTTATTTTTCTTCTTAATGAGTATGGAAGACTCTAAAAAGAAGTTACCTGTTGTTTTTAAAAGCTATGCGTGGACTTAGATCAAAATGTCTGTCTACCATGTAATCTTAATTGAATTTGTATCATGTACTTTTGTCTAAACAGTGCTCACATTTAAAGCTTAGTTTCAGACATGGAAATGTCTATGTCTTCTCTAGACCAATTAAATCATAACAATTTGTATGGTTCCATGGATGGGGGGCATATTTAATTTCTTAGTGTGAACTTACTATGGTTTGATGATACTCCTTACCTTTTTTAGACATTTACAAGACTCTTCATTTCTTGACTTAATTTTATGTGCGAGTTTTACCTCCCAAGAATCTTCAGTGATAAAAGAATTAACAAAATAGGCAAACATATTTGCATCTTTAAAATATATGTCTTAAATTTCAAGGAAATATAACATATTTAGAAAATCTGGAACCTTATTTCCAAAACCACCTTCACTAGAGTAATCCAACGTTTCTTCCTTCAGCTCCTAAAACATCACGAGTTCGTCGTCCACGTCCCAGACCTAAAACCACATCAAGCCCTGAAGCACCTCAGACCAAACTGGGTAAATGTGTTATTTCATGGTTTGAGGGGTAAGCCCTAGCAGCCTGTCCCAGTGGAGTCCCAAAGCAGTGCCTCCAATGGGAAGTAACAGCCTTCATGTTCCCTAAGAGTCAAGGCATTGAGGTGTGGTTAACAGCCGCTTCTTGGGTGAAGTTCTTGGTCTCTCTTATTTATAGCAAGATTGGCATAGTCACTCATGGTTATTTATTGCTATATCTACATTTAAACACATTATCAATTTATTATAGCTGTGAGTACATAAACATAGGTATTTTTTTCAGCTTCCAAGAAATGTAACAAGTTACTTTCACATATTTTTTTGTGTATATTGCCTAAACAGATTTTCCAAAGCTAGCTTCCATATGAGAATCAGAAAATCAAACACCTAGGAAAGGCTCATGTTGACCATACTAAGATTCATAGCAGAGTTCAAAGGTTGTGCCTATCTTCTGCAATGAATTATTCCTAGCTACAGAGACTGTTTGCTTTCTATGAATGCAGAAGTTTAAAAAAATTGTCATTTGAAACTAATGTTTTGAAAGAAAAATTAAGACTTTCTATGTGTGTTTAAACTTTCTTGTGTTCATGTTGTTGCTTTTGGTTAGTTCCTGCTACTAGCTTTGAACCTGTTATTCATAGCTCTGAAGCTCCAGAAACAACATTAGGTAATGATTTTTGTGACCTCATTAAATGCTTTTACACTCATTAAAAACTCACTCCATCACTGTCATGGCCAGAGTTCCTCCCGCTTCCTTCAAGTGCTATTGTAATTCTATTTCATGCTTCATCTTTTACGTAGTCAGGATTCTTAATTAAGGTGCTACCTATTGCTTTTAACAGTTGTCCCTGGATCCAGCTGAGGAAATCTATCTTCCATGAAAACCCCTTTAACATTTCATTATATGATTTCAGTGAAGAGTCTGAAGTCCAAATTGTTTGCCTTCTATTTGGTATTTAGATCTATAAAATGATAATAATTAAGTACCATGAAATTTCTCCGAGCAACTTACTTTCTGTAAGATTTTTGTGATATCCTCATTAATCTCTTCCTATTTTAAGGAATGAGGTTTCCCTGTTATATTAAATTACCAAAAACAAGTTGCTTCCTGGAAGTGTCAATTCTAGTGAATCTAAGTTACAGGCTCCCCCATCCTTGATGAACTTGACTATTCCTTAGTCTCCACAACAGTTTAACATTGGTTATTAACCTTTACTAAGTAGGAATCTCTCTGAGTATCTAATTATACACATTAATACCTATATCTTTAAATTAACAAATTTTGGTCTCTAAAAGACCCTCAGTGATAAGGAACAAATTAGATTGGTAAAGTAAAATTTTTCAGACTCAGGCAATAAACTCAAGAAAATCTAATATTTTACAAAACATTGGTACAGGTACAATGCTGTTGATGGTTTCTAGACCTACAAATACAATACAACTCAATATTTTCTTCCTTTAGTTTCAAATCATAGGGGAAGAAATCCTTCTCCTAAACACTAAATTTCCCAAAGCTTCACAGTTTAAAAATCAAGAAAATCTATGGTTTTCTGTTTAAGGAGTCCTTCCAGCCTATTGCAGTTGGGCCCCAAGAGTGACAGTGATGTGGCTTGCTAACTTGCATTTCACACCTCTGTGCCCTCTAACAGAGAAGGTAGAATCTCTACAATTTCATGTGGACAAGAAGGTTCATGGTTGGAGATTTATATGGTAGCCAAATGCATAAGGATTCTCTCTGACAAAAGATGCATCTTATTCAATTCTCTTAGCATTCTATTCCATTCATTTCTTTTTAAAATAGCATTGCTTCTTTGTCTTAGGTAAACAACCATTTCCTTGCCCTCTGTGGTCCCAGCACCACATTAGCAGTTGAGTAGGGTAGGGTGTAGAGCAGAGGAAGAGATCAAAAGTAAGGGCATGTTTTACCTCTTGAATAAAGTACAATATAATTGTGAAGAAAACCTGTTCTTGAGTTTTTCTTAGATAGAAGATAATTTGCTTATACAAAAGCAGCTTGTTTGGTAAAAAACTTTAGAAAGAAAATACTTAAAGGAGTCAAGGATCTATGTGGGCTGATAGAGAATAGTTGAGCTTTGAAATTAAGTAGGATTTGAATTAGTGGTTGGAATGGTGGGAACAGCAAAATAAAAAAGTTTTGACACCTATTGAGGGTACCCAAGGGGGTGGTCAAACTGGAACATAGAATAAAACACTCCTAGATGATACGGAACATTTTGTTAATGATACTGTAGGAAATACTTAGAAAGCCCTTGTGGGAATATAGATTCAGATACAGTAGTCATTGAGAACCTCAGTTTTTCAAATAGGCTCTTCCTTTTTATAGAAGGATAATTAAAATCAGGGATCAGCAAATCAGCAAATTTTTTTATGTGAAGAGTTAAATAGTGAATATTTTAGACTTTGCAGACCATTCAGTCTGTCACAGCTACTCAATTCTGCTGTTGTAACTTGTAGGTAACCAAAGCCAAGATGTAAGTGATATGTAAATACGCCTTGAATCATCTTAGTTTGTAGGTGTGGCTGTGTTCCAATAAAACTTTATTTGAATTTCATACCATTTTTACATGTCATAGATTATTACTCTTCCTTTAATTTTTTTCCAATCATTTAAAAATGTAAAAATCACTCTTAGCTCACAGGTCGGGAAGAGGGCTGGATTTGGGAGGACCATAATTTGCCAATCTCTGCTTTAAATAATGCATACTCTGCATTGCCTCTCCATAACCCTGTGATTCTGAAGGTCTATGTGTTGCTACCTGTGAAATAAATTATCCATAATTAGTTTGACATCTTAGACCCTCTTCTTTCAGCTCCCACTGAACTGCATACTCTTATTTTGAAACCAGTGACATCACCAAGCCTAGAAATAACACAAAGTCAACCTGGTAAATAGATTATTTAATCTATCTGGTACACCATGAGCTTCAGGGGGCATACCCCAAATGTTGTATTTCCAAATATTAAAAAATACAAAAGAATACACATTTAACAACTCTGTATATTGTACATGCTCCTTCCATGATTGCATACTGGTGTAAATTAGTAATACATTATTTCATGTTAATTATGTTATTCAACTGTATAGAAATAATTATCTTCATTTGGGTTTGCTCTGTATAATATTAGAGAATAATCACATATCTGATTAAGTAGTCAACAGAACCACTTAGAAGAACTGATTTTATTCTTTACCTTTATTTTTCACTAAGTTACAGACTTGTGGTTCTCTTTAGTAATAAGTTAAACTTCTGCTCTGCTATGTGAAAAGAATGCTCATTCAATTGTGACCATTAATGAAGGAGAAAGTTCTCACTTCAGTAAAGATAACAAAATTTCACCTTACACAATATGAGCCTAAACATTATTGCCTTTCAAAATTAAAAACAAATTTTAAAGATCATACTTTTCAATGCTATTGCAACTCTCTGACATTTATTTTGAAACACCAGATCTTATTTTTAACATAGGATTGTAATTTCTTTTCATTCCTTTTGTGTATCTCTTAATTCGCTAAATGGCGTTTTGATGCTTATGTTGATGGAACAAGGTTCTATGGTTGTTAATGATAACTTAAAATACTTATAAAACTCTGAATTCAGTTATTAGAGTTTCCTTTAGGGTTAATAGTACTATTGTTATTATGGTAACGGCTGACATTGAGCGCTTACAGGTACAAGGCACTTGTCTAAATACTTAGTTTGTATGAATTCATTCAATGCTCACAACAACCCATCCTTGATCAATTTTACCATTTTGTGTTTTTTGCTAGTTTCTGAAGTCCTGGAATCGGTTACATTTAGCACTGAGTCATCAAAGGAAGCTATAGGTAATAACGTTCCCCAATGGGAAGTCAGGTATATGTGCTTTTCCATCTCATTGTGGAAGTCATTTTGGGATGTCCTCATGCTTTGTGACATTTCATGGCTCCTCACGTATTGCCTGTGCTCATCCAGTGAAACTTGACAGTCAAATGTTATATACAGCCCATTTTGCTAGTATCTGCTGTGTTGCTATGCAAGTTTCACAATTTCCTTGCTTAGTTTCCTCTCATTGTGAATGCACAATTTCATTTTTTAATATTCTGATCACTTTCAATACAAATATGCACATCCTACTTTTCATTTTCATATTGTTTTTAGGATTCATCCCCATGCTTTCAAAGGACTCACTCTATGTCTTTTTCTCACTAGAATCCTTAAACAAAAATAAGGAAGTGAAATTATCTGCTTTGCTCCAGGTAGAAATCGCTGTAGACCCTGCCAGTTATTGTGTATGTGTGTATGTGTTCCACACTGCACACTGCCTTCATTTTCTGCCTTCATTGTAGTCATCTTTATAATCTACCTAAATGTTATTTATTCTCACAAATCTATCTACTTAATTAACCTCTGTTTTAAAATTAAACAGTGTTCCATTAAAGTGGGTGCTATGGGCTGTCCACCACTAACCCGCCATTCCCTGTTTCTTCCGTAGCACCAACTGAAATAGATTATGTATATTCCACTGCCAAAGCACCACTCAGGCCAGAGGAGTCAAAGACTGAAGGTGGTAAAGGTTTTCATGCTTCTATTCTTTTATTCAAAAAATTTTTAATTAGTATCACATTTCATGGAATTTGAAAGTTCAAGCTGGGGTACTTAATCTACAGTGGAATAGCTTTGAAGAGCTATAGCTTCTAAAATTCTTGAATTCTTAAAATTAAAATGATAAGTGACTCTCTGAATACAGAAATTTCGGTTTCTCTGTGGTATCTAAATATTGAGGCATAATAAATTTGACAGTTAATGACAGTTAAAACATAAATATTAGTTGGAGGATTAGGGTTATAGAATAGGATTTCCCTCTTGATTCTTTTTTCTTATCCTAATCCATTGTCCTATCTGTAAAAATGTGATGCAGATTCTCAAGAGAATGAGGTGTGTTGATATTCAAGAAAGAGATACTTGACTGTGGCCTAACATCTTAAGCTTTTTAAAATTGTTCTCCTTTGTTTTGATACAGTTGTGGAATCTATTACAAATGTGTCTGAACCACCTGAGATCACGCTAGGTAATGACACACCCTGGCAGTTTTTGCCCTCATTGTCGCCATCACCTGAGAACTTAGGTTCTCCCTCATTGTGAATTCATGTTGCAACATCATTCTTTGTCATGGCAGTTAATTTTCTTTCTAGGTGCTTCTATTCATAACCATTGTCCAAAAAGTGTCTTCTCCCATTCAGCTTTGTATCTAGACCTTGATCTCTCTCTACTTCAGTCACTGAAACTGTCAAATCTAAAGTGTCTTTTTTCCTAATGTTAAACATTCTGCCAGCTTGGTATTACGTTGAATACTTCAGATAATATTTTTTGTATGATGATCCATTTATACCTTCTGCCCTAGCAACATACTTTCCATTAACACTCATTTCATCACATTCATTTACATGTTTGATTTTTTTCTTCATTAGTTAAACAAAATTCAATGCTGCTGAATGGCTTATGCCTTAACATTTAAAATTTTTCTCCTTATGGTTCCTCCTGAACCTATCTTTCTAGCACTATTGGGGATGTACTAGTGTGGAGTGAGGATTTTAAAAGTAAGGCTATTGCTTACCTTGAAAGTATTTTGTAACCTGGCATCTCTAAGCAGCTTTTAAACTAAATGCATTATGAAGAAGTAGGAGTGCTATTTTGCTGTAGACTTGCAATTTGCTTTCTTTTTTCCTTTAAAATCCACTTGTTACCATCTGTTCTGTCATCTGTACTCAAGGTGTGTGAAGTGCTATAGTAACCCTGGGTACTTTCCTTCAATTACCATAGAAACATCACCTCTGCCTTCCCAAACTGTAATCCTACCCAGCCCAGATGAGCCTCAGACCGAACCGGGTAAATACGTTATTTTGTGTTTCATGTAGAAGGTGAGTGTTTGCAGAACTTACAAGAATGGAAAGACAATATATATGGGCACTATTACTAGTTATCAAAAGCCCTAACTTAATCACTGCTCACAGTATTTGACCCTACCTTTCTGATGCCCCACTCCTCCTTCTATCCATAATCTGTAGCCAGTCATATGGCAGTGTTGTGAACATTATTTAGGATATAACTGAAAAACACCTCTCAGCTACTCTGCAAGTCTTTCATATAGAAAATAGTAATGTTTCTGGTGAAGAACATTTGTATTCTTTTTAAAATATAAATATCCCAATTTTAAATACTTTATCATCTTGACTAGTTTTACAAGGTCTGTGGTCATATAAAAACTATTTTAAGATAGTTAATTTGTTTAAGATTAACCAAAACCTCCAGAAATACTGGAGCATTCCACAAAAAGGGGTACAATTGGTCGGTCATCTTGTCATTATCCAGGTCCCTTACTACTTTCTACTGCTCCTTCCTGTGGCAGTTTGGCCATTTCACTGCATACAAATAAGAGAAACTGAAGTCAAACTGGTTACTTGGCAAGTCATAAGGGTTTACTTGATGGTGGAATTTGAAATATGGGAAAACAAATCATCGATGCGGATAACTAAATATTCTTCTTACAAGGGAAAATTTTCTCAATATCTGCAGGCTCTCTTGGAATGTCAGTTTATCATAAATAAGCCCAAACTTGTATTTTGATGGCCATTAAACTATTTTATATGGCTCTATTTCCAAAGGAGATACGGATATTAATTTTATTCATTGTCCTCTAAAATGTCCTGTTAAATCCTGTTAATATCCTTTGCCTCTTAAACTCTACAGTTTAATTTTTACCAAAATTCCACACTGCATTAACTGGATCTGTGTCAATTATCTCTAACTTTTCTAAAGTTTTGTTAAATAGCTTTAATCATTAATATGATTGAAATATTTAATCGTAGATACTATCAGTGATACTAATCTCATTCTGAATCATTTTTTATAGAATTGCCTCATGACATGCCTTTACCTGCAAGATGGTCTCTTATACCCTGGGGAAGCAAATAGCCTATCAGTACGAACTTCGGCAAGCAAAGCAGTTCAGAGTCAGAATATCACAAGACTAAGGACACCATAGAAATATAGAATTTTAGGGTTGGAAGGGCTCTTAAAAATCCTGTTACTGTTGATGAAGAACCCAATGTTGTAGACCGAGTGATCCGCAAAGCGAACTCTGAATCTCCCAGCTCCAGGCTCCTAAACCAGTGTAATCTCCAACATATCTTGTTCATCTCTCCACAGGCAAGAAGATTCCACTGAAACGATTGCATGCCTTGTATATTTTGACTATCAGGAAGAAGTCCCTACAGACTCAGCTTCTTCTTTTATCTAATAACTCTTATTTTCAGCAAGCTTTTCTTAAGGTGCCTGAAACTCTGTGACCTTGAAAACCATTTTGTTTCTTCTTATCTCTCTTTATCCCAAACACACTGAACCCAACCAAACAAGGTATTTCCACAAGCTGCGATCTTTCATTTGATAATTCTTTTCCTCCAGCAGGATAAACTGTTAATTTTCTTGGTGAAGAAATAATTGATTTTTTACACTGAATGTCCTAGAACTTCTTTGGGAATTGCTCAGCAGAAGAATAACTTTCTTCAATAATGTATCCTTTCAATTTCTGTTCAATTTTTCTTCTCCAATATGACCAATAAAAATTGTGTTTTGTTTAACAAGATTAATTTTTTTCCATTAGCACTTACTATTAAGATACATTCATTTTCTAGGTATATTTGGAATGTAATGTGCTTTTTATTTAGAAGAAATTGTATCTCTTTGCACTTAAAATATTATACTGGGTTATTCTGATAAAATGATGTGAACTTATAATGATGAATTATTTTATTATGAAATTTATTTTTAACCTGTTTAATAGGTATTTGAAGTGGATATTTCTAAAATTCCAACAGTTTCATTTGCCAGCTGAATATCTTGGATATCTTTAATGTGCTGCCTTGTTTTTTTTTTTTCCCATTATGATAAGAAAATTACCTTCTTATACTTTGTGGCTCTTTGGGAACTTTAATTGCTGTGTATTTAGGTCTTCAATTACTCAACAAACATCTCTGAGATCCTAGAGGTTTAGGTACTGTGACTCTTGAAGACCTCAAGAGCTCCGAACCTATATCCTTTCTTTTAGTGCCCAAGCAGACACCGCGAGCTCCTCCCAAACCAAAAATATCTCCACGTCTAAGAATCCCACCGACACAGCCAGGTAAATACTTATTTTATATTCTGGCCTGAAAAATTTGACGTTAGTGGAGTTACTCTGTTGAATTATAGCAAGTTAGGTTTTTAACCCTTATAAAATAAGACTTCCTTTGAAACCTAATAAATATTTACATTTATTTTTAGACTTTATCAAAAAGTATATTATTGGAGTAGCTTATTCCAGAAGCTTCCCTGTTGTTATATTATTTGAGAGGGGGATGGAGGAGAATGGAATTTCTTAAAAGAGTAGCCTGCCTACTCCCTTCACTTCTCACAGCTTGAGAAAACCTTCCATGGTCCTTGAATGTCCGCCCCCTGCCAATCACCTAATTTCTTTTTTCTTTCAGTCAATTTTATTTAACATTAGGTCATGAAGATTTTTAATATATATCCTCTTCTGTAAAATAATAACATAATATTGCTTTGGTTGTTTTGCTAGGAATTTTGGGAAGGACCTAAATAAGAGTCATTATAAACTATTTTTTATTCTGTTCAAGAAGCTCTTACTTGAATGATTGAATGATTAACTCTAACCCTAACTTCTCAACCAAGATCTTGTCCAGTTCCTCTGACTGTTTTGGCAGATCTCAATTTCAGGCTACCATAAAATTGACATGCCTCAAAGAAAGCTCATCTTTCCCTCCTTTCAGTTTCTCATTTATATCTGTTGCAGATCCTGAGCATTTTACATCGATTTTTATCCTCTTCCTCATCTGGCCTCTGCAGTCCATCAGTTTTTCCAGACATCTCTAACATTGGTGCCTACTCCAAGCATATACCCAGTCATGCCTAGTCTATTGTCATGAATCAACTGATCTCCTGTCTCTCTTCTCTCCTAATTTAAAATTGTACCACCCTTGGTGCTTAAGTGGCTGATTAATTCATTTCATCAGTTAGTCACTTAACAACTACTTATTGCATGCTGACCTCACATCAGACAATGTGCTAGACACTGGGAATGTGAAACAAAATTTCATCCTTCTGTAGTCAAGGAAGTTATAGTCTAGGCCAGTCCCCTAAATCTAAATTTATTTTTTATACATGGCCCACTTCCAAAAAGCATATGAAGTGCACCTACCCAATTTGCTAGGAAAGGAACCCTAACTATGACCAGTGGTCTGGGGAAAGGAAAATGTTAGCAGCATCAAAATTATGCTTGATCTAGGTAGTAGCTCTGAATTACCAACACAAATTCTTTAATCATATCTCAGTATCCCTACTGAAAGAAAAAAACTGTAGATGTGGGGATGGTCTTTAATATCTGAGAGGTATTAACACTTTCTTTAATATTTCTGAGAGAAATTTTACCTATTACTTTTTCTTTGAAGGAAAACTCCTTAAAAAACAGTTCCATTTACTACATCTAGCTAATGATTTTAAATCTGCTTTAATGTATTTTAAAATGTGTTTTTATTTAATTACTAAAACTTTGCTAAAAAATAATATGGGTGTGATATGTAAGTAGATGAAGGTACCAAAGCAACAATCATCTGAAAGAATAAGAAATTTAAAATAATAACAAAAAATAAATTTGAACTATTAATATATAAGAGATACTGGGAAAAATAATTGATGATTAGTGAATAAGTAATGAATAATAGAATAAGAATAAAAAAGCAAGTATATTAAATTTGTGGATAGGAAACTAAAATCTAACTTTAAGAAATCAGCAGATAAAATTACGAGAAGAAGCTCTCAACCTTTTATGTGAATATAAAGCATAGAACAAATGAGGCAGAAAAAGGAGAAATGGAAAGAAATAAGAAAGCATAAAACAATGAATGATGGAAAAGAAAAGAAAAGATGAGAAACAAGAAGTGCTGGAAGTTAAGACATTGAGGATATAAAGTCCTCATTAGTAACATTTTAAAAAGTAAAGGAGATATGAACTAAGAAGGAAGACTTATTCATAATTTTATCTTTTTGAGCCGTACTCTGCACTTATAAAAATACAATATAGTAAATCAGGAGCTTACTCTAATTTCCCATTATGACACTGTATTCTAAGTTTCAACTTTGTTTGATTTTGATTTAGACCTTTAGCTAACCTTCCTCGACAAGGTAAGCAACTTCAGAATGGATAGATGCATATGCTCAGTGGTTCCACTCTCACTCTGAAACCCTGGAGTGACTGCAGACTATAACAAGAGAGCATCCTGATTCTGTCCCAACTGAGCAAACTCCCAGCCCATCAGCATCTCCCCTGGAAAGTAGCTACAATCCAAACACTTCTAGCTTTGTCAGGGCAACCTAGTGTAAGGGGACTATTTGGAAAATTGATCATGAAAAAATGCACTCTACTTATTCCTCTTAAAAGTGGGTGAAATTAGGATCTCTCTTACCCAGGAATATATGAGCTTTACTTAATAGATCCCAGCAATACCCTAGGTTTTTATAGTCTTTCAAGAATATTTGTGTATGTATACATATGTATCACTCAGTAGTTCAAAAACAAATATTTAAACCCTAGTAGTACTCCCTCCTTACCCCTGGCTAGCTGTTGTGAATTTCAAAAGGCCATTTGAATGGGAGAATGTTCTGTTCGCACGTGCAATATCAATATCAAATGCAAATTATTATTGTTGGGCTATAAGGGCATCATCTAACAATAGTGTATACAACTTAAAGAGCAATGCAATGTATTCATCTACCACTGTTTTCAGAATGAAATTCTGTAATTGGGCATGCCACCTCATTTATACTTAAACTATGTTGATAAATTAGATAGCAAAAGTTAAATTTACTATATTTGGCATTTGAGGGGATAGTGGGATCAAAAATTTGGAAGAAACCATCAAGAATATTTCACCATTAAAATACAGGTTTGATTTTTAGATTCCTATGTTCATAAGTGATAATGAACAGTCCTGTTAATGATTTTATATCTAGAAATCTTATAACCATCAAAATTGCTCCTAATTCTTGAGGGGGCAAACAATGTGAAAAGCAAAATATACTCAGATCCTTCAATGTCAAATTTGTAAAGATTCTCCAGAAGTAGAAACAGATATTTATAGGGGTATAGCTTTCACATCATTTTGACATTTCACACTTAATTCTCACAATCACCCTTTCAGTTAGGACCGGTTTATTAATTCCACCTAAAAAAATGAGGAACAATTTAAAATGTGACCTGCAGAGCTGGGATATAGCGAGCCCAAGTGTTGGGACCTAGCAGTCATATCTGGACCTCAGTGTTCAGGTCTTGTCTCTGGTGCTTAATGATCACGTGACCCCAGGCAAATAGATTTAAAGTGAAGCTGATAATTCCTTCCTCTCAGCAGTACGGTGAGAATCAAAGGGCATAATCTTATGAAAGTACTTTTGAAATTGTAAAATGAGCTATAAATAAAGTAGACCTTTTTTTTTTTCCCCTGGTATCTATTACATTTGCACCTTGTTACTCCAAAGGAACAGCTGTGGAAAGACAATTTTGGTTTGTGAACATGTCATTTAAAGGTTTATTTAGAACCTAACAATTGCCGGAGATGTAGAATGCGAGCCCACCCATTCCATTCCGTCGCCCACTTCTCTTTCTGCTGTTGCTGAGCTGACTTTAAGCTGCTCTTTTCCATACTTCATGGGATCCCATTCTGACTTCACTGAATTCATCTTCACAGAAAGACATAGGGATGGGTTTAAGAAGTCAAGCAAACATCCACAAAAGAAGAACACTCTTGCATTAATTAAATTGCTATCTCTTCTGAAATGATGTTTAAAAAAAATCATTCATCCTGTTCTTATGCTTAGTCAAATTTTGCTGCTTCTCAGATTTCATTTTTCTTAACGTATCTGGAATTCTAACTGATCTATTTTTAGAGCTTAAGGTTTATTTTTCCATCTAAATCCCATTTCAATACTTTTTTAAAATCAGTAATCAGTCTTATACTTTGTCATATCTTATGTGTTAAGCAAGACTGGGAGATGCTAAAACCAAATGACTCATGATCCGAGCTCTCTCTTTCAGCTCCTAAGGTGTTCCAGCATGTTACTCCGAAGCCAAAGACATCACCAAGTCCAGAAGCGTCCTATACTCAGCCTGGTAAATGCTTTATTTCATGTTTAAACCAAATGCATTCTACAGTCACACTCTGCTGAAATGAAACATGAGGACTGATGGATGTGAGGTCCATGTTTCACTTCTGTTCAGGTACCACGTTGTATCATGCATGATATAATCATTTCAGAGTGTTCATAAGAGTTATCTAAGTGCTCATATGGTAAACCATTGATATAATCCAAAGGCAGAGAATTATGCCAAGGGTAGAATGCTTCTTCTAGAATTAAAATTCTCTTATTTTTTGACTTCCAAAAAATAACCTACCAATGTTAACTATGCTGTGCTCATGTTTCACCAAGATAAAATAAAGAATTGGGGATTTTCCCGCAAAAATGATAAAATGATGTTTTACAAATGGAGGAAATGATGTTTAACCATTTTCTTGGGTTCAAACATTTTACACTATCCAGTATTGAGGGTCTTTTTTTTTTTTTTCCTTTTAAATTCTATTTTACCCATTCATGGAGCAGTTGCTTGAGTCAAGAAATTTGTTTCACACAGGAAAAAATGATTTCTTTAGTTACAGATCAATTTCTTGCCTATCATTTGAGAAGGCTTTTTGCTCCTTTATGGGGGGAGTAATCTCATGTTTGTGGGAGTAGTCAAGGTAGGGACTGCAAGGACCCAGACATTTCTCTAGATCCTCAAGTGACCATACAAAGCTGCTGTTAGCTACACTAATTAGTTCACTGTTGGTTCGCTAATAAGCCAAACCAAGTTTTTAACTAGAGTATCTGAGAAATACAGTAAGTTCCCCCCCCCCGCTTTTTTTTAAGGTGCAATTATTATAAATTCTTAGATGGTCCTGGAAGCGTATAGAACATTCCTAGAACCAAAGGATTTCTGAGCTGTAGCTTGAATGATGGCATTTTGGAGGCAAGTGAATTCACTTGCTATCATGTTTTCCAGGTTGTATAAGCGCAGGGTGTTACTGTCGCTGTGGGATGGCTAGGTTGTTGCAGGTGGTGATAGGCTGCAAAGAGCCTCTTTTGCCCTGAAGTCTAGACTTTAAATTAGTACTGCTAAGTGCAACAGTCAATATTATAAATGCCAATAAGGAAAAAGCTGATCTTCCCACTTGCAAAAGGTCAGCTTCTTGTTTTCAACTGAGGAAAAAATATGTAACGGAAACGAAGTCATTACAGATAACAACAGTAGATATGAGCGATTATATTCACTTTTCGTTAGAGAAAGCAATACTATTGGTCCTGATATGACATAATCTCATTAAACCAATATATCTAATAGTTCAACTTTTTCTTCCTTTTTAAATGTCTACTATTTGCCTTAATTCCATCAACACCTTCTTTTTCACAGACACTCTGATCTGTACGTTTGAGCCCTGGAACAACAGCACAAACGCTCTCTCTGGAGCCTTCATTGAGCTTATTCTATTGACTCTCCAGTTCCAAATGTTCAGATTGAATTTTGTCTCTAAACCTAGTGTTGGTGCTGCCATTGTGTCCATCAGGGGTTCCCCTATTGCTCCAGGGGTGTGATGCTACGGGAAGAATCACAGGCAGTCTTTACTACTATTTAATGTTCTCCCAAGTGTTTTAACAGACTGGATTCAAACAGTCTTGGGGTTGTATCTAGGCTCAGGTTTGCATCCTAATGAGCCCACAACCTTGTTTACTGGCTCCTCAGAAAACAGGGTAAATTACATGTAAACTTAATGTGTACTTGTATCTCTATCCTTTTTATAGAGATAGATGCTCTATAAAAATGTAAAAAGTAGTACTGAAATCAGGACATAGTTATGTTTTAACACAATGTTTATCTCAAAATTTATACTGAGAGATATTAGAAGTGACAAAACTGAATTTTTAGACCGGTACCAAGTAAGTCAGTCTCGGATTATCTCTACAGCTCTTTCATTCTATAGATTCCTAAGTATAACACAGGTTTCATCCAGTGAGGCCTTTAGAAAATATCTTTCAGTCACTCAGTTGAATTATCTACAACACTTAATGAGGAATCTAGACAAACTGAGCCCACACATCATGTCCAGAACCAAAACAGAACTGGCTTTTCTTTTGATCTGCCTTGGAGGAATGCTTTTGAATTCAGAGAAAAGGACCTGCCCTGATGCCTGGCTCAACAGAGCTGTGCCTTCTTTGTAGATTTGTTTCTGTACCAAGGGCTGTCTTGGCTTTGTTGGAACTTCTGTCACCACAGAAGTATTTGGATAGACTTCAGTCATCGGGAGCAAACCAGGGGCAAAAAAGTTTAGATTTCAGCAGGCTATCCAATCCTACAAATGTTCTGTAACTGCTCTCTTGGGCAAATTCTAATTTGCAGTCACACATCAGCATTTTTGCAGTTAGGAAAGAAGAGACTAATGCTAAAATGTCTTTTGGAGATGGAATTGCTAGGATGTAGACAATGACTGAATGGTGTTATGGAGAGAAGGATGACACTGTGATTTCTAGCTTGGGCAGGTGGTAGATGATAATACCATTAACTAACACAGAGGGGAATGAAGGCAGGGAACACAGAGGGAGGAATGAAGGCTTGTGTTTGTACGTGCTAGGTTTGGAGGGCCAGCAGGACTGGTGGTTGAAATGTATTTTTGGATATCTAAACAGAGGTCGATATTTAGGATGTAGATTTGGGAGTCATGTGTCTACATATAGAAGGTTCTTAAATCTTGTGAGTGAATGACATCATCCAGGAGAAAGTACAGACAGAAAATAAGAGATCAGAGATCAAAGTCGTAGGGGACACAGTTATATTTCAAGAGTGGACAGAGGAAGAGGAGCCATCAGAATTTGCTGTCAAAAGATCCAAGTAGCAGGAAAGAGGGGCTCGGGAGGCAAGACAGGGAAGGGCAGCCGTCAATGACAGTGAGGTGGACAGGTGTCAGAAGAGCTGTTGGACTTGACAGTGTGGGTCCAAAAGCCTGCATCTGAAACCTGTGGGCCAATGCTTCAGAATTCAGCAATTTTCAGACTTTGGAAAGGTAAAACAGCACATATACCGTCGATTACAAGCATATTCATAAGTCTGCAGTGGGAAGTATGAACAGTCACACTACTCAGGATGAATAAAAACTGCAAATAGCCTCAGGTCAGTTCTAGTCAGGTTTTACTGTCAAATAAGTTTAGAAAAAAAAAAAACACTTTCTGTCTTCAGAGCATTTTGAACTTCAGAACTATGGATGAGGCCTCATGGATCCGTGGGTGCGGGAGTGGGTGCAGGAGATCAGGAAGCCAGTCCACGGTGAATGGAGAAGACGCAGTTAAGAGACCAGGAAGCAGAGACAGATAGAGTTTTTAGATGAAAGGAATAAGAGCAAGAAAGGGATGGTTTGAAGGGGAAGCCATGTCAAGGAAATGGTTATTAATGTTAGGATGTTGGAGCATTTGAGCTGTTTTATAGGTGGAGAGGGAGGAACTCATGGATAAATGGAAATATGGACTAACGGAGAAAAATAGAAGATAATAGAAATAATGGAAAGTAAAAGGTCCCAGAGGAGATGGGAGGGAAGGTGACCCAAGAGCACAGGTAAAACTCTGCAAGTGGTCTCTGAAAGGGCAGGAAACCTGCTTCCTCTCAGACTGGACCTTAGGGTACAAGGTTAGAATAAAGGAAGAGGGAATCTGGAGGTGAAAAGGGTGTGTGGTCTATGTGTGTTACTTTTCTAAGAGAATCTCTTTGTAGCCTATTGCAGGGGTAAACCTTACTGAAGATTCCTTATTCCACCATCTCTGTCAGAGAGCGACACCTTCATTCTCTCATCTGCTCTGGCAAAACATTCATGCGTATTCATTTACATTTGTCCATATTGGACATCTCCACTCACAGTTGTCTCATGTTAGTTGAATTGTTCTTTGGAAACGTGTCCTTTATTCAAAAAGACAGTTAATATAACTGGTAAGTGAATTGGTTATTTAATATAAATGGTAAATTGGCTTATACAAATGGGTCTAAAATATAATAATGGTAAGTAATCTTATAAAGAAATCAAAACTGCCTTCTTAATAAATTGTCATGATTTACACTGATAAGTTTCCTCCAGCATGGAAGATTTTGGTTTTAAGAGTCATGCTCTTATTCAATTAAATATACGGAGGAATGCCACATTGGGAAAAAGAAAAAAACAACTTTGCATTTGTTGGAGCTGCCGGTGACCAAGAGAGAGAATGATTCATATCCCTTTCCTGTGAATATTTCTAGTTCTTTCCTTTCCACTGATTTCACCTGCTTTAGAACGTCTGGCATGGCAGTTATTAAATCATCCCTTCATGGCTAGAAAGTGCCAATTGCAGCAGCAGGGATCCACATTAGTCTAAATTCCTCAGGAAACTAAGGCAGGCCGGCAGTGAATCATGTATTTACAGTATATGGTGGATTTATTGGTAGCACATTTCTTTTTAGCTTCTCGTTTCCTTAATCCGGCTCCTCTCTGTATAGTCTAGCACTGCAACCAGTTAGGATGTTTATAAACTCAGACTGCTCTGTATGGCCGTGACCTTCTCAGACGCACACCAAAGTGCCTTCTCCCTCACCCTCCAGATAACAGTTAGTTTGATTTACAACTGGAAATTCCTCGTATTTTACCCCTTCAGTCCTTAAAAATACTACATAGCAAAGGTGAAGTGTTCACTATGGTGATGGGTTTTCTTTAACTTTGTGCACCACTAATCTTTTTGAAGTTACCTTTTTAAAAAAAAAGTCCAGATATCAAGTTCCCCTGGTGGTTACCCTTTAGCTCATAGAAGTTCTAATGGAGTCACATTTCGTTTCAGTGGACCAAATTCCACGACTGTGATTTCACTCGCCCTTGCTTAGTGGCCTAGACTAAGAACAGATGTGATGTGCACGTTAAATGTGATCCCAAAAGCCATAAAAGAGAATGAATGTCCATCTTATATAATCTGTTTCTACACTAATGATAAAGTGCTGCTTGTCCACCTCATGGTACAAAAGTTTTCTTCATCTTTCTCGGAGGCAGAGTTGTAGCCTGAATCCTAATTTTTTTCCTCCAGCACCATATAAGATGCAAGAAAGTTACACTGCATACCTAAGGGTATTTATGAATTCGGTGTGGTAGGAAAGCTTTTCAGTGAGTGAGTAGGGTTGACAAGGACCTCCTTTCAGGGAAACTAAGTTAAAGAAATACGTCATCTTGCTCCTGCAAGGAGATTTGCCATAGAAATCTGGTACTAACAACAGGCAAATCACCCTGGTATTTTCCCCAATGAGAGATAAGGTATCAAGTTCCCAGCCTACCATTTTATTTTGCCGAAGTAGAACTGGACACAGGCATTAAAAATATACTGGATATCAGGACTGAATATGATTATTGTTTAGTGTATATTTTTCTCCTTTGTTTTCATGTTCTCATATGTCAGGAGGCCCTAATACCTATACTTAATACCTATTATACTAGAAGCCATATCACTAAGAATGACAAAACTGGCAACATTTATCTAACATTTACTATGTAACAAGCACTGTCATAAACTTTACATTCAGTATCTTCTAATGAGTGAGTGATCCTTCCTGCTTTATCTTCTCCCCATAATAACTGTTAGTGCCTTTTAGAATAAAACTTTGTTCTTCCCTTAGATATTCAAGAGTTTTGCCTTTCTTCCTGTTTTCCTCAATTTGCAGGCCATTTCTTTCTTTCTTTTTTTTTTTTTTTGGTACGCGGGCCTGTCACTGTTGTGGCCTCTCCCGTTGCAGAGCACAGCCTCAGCGGCCATGGCTCACAGGCCCAGCCGCTCCGCGGCATGTGGTATCTTCCCGGACCAGGGCACGAACCCGTGTCCCCTGCATTGGCAGGCGGACTCTCTACCACTGCGCCACCAGGGAGGCCCAGGCCATTTCTTTAAGATAATGTTGTTTCTATTGCTGTCAGTGGAATTTTAGCAGGAATATCAAATGGCAGCTATAACCTCTTCAGACAAAAACTGACCTATTACTTTGAAGACAACTTGAGGGAGACCTACCTCCTTGTGTTTAATTACATTAGTTTTTTCTTCCTTTTTTTTTCCCTCAACAGAATCTTCGAAATGACCTGTGACCAACTTTGTTTTACTGCCATTAGAACCTTTCCTACACAGTGACATTTTTCCATCTCAGAAAGATGGTCCTCTTCTTGGCTTAGCCCTTTAGCCATTGTGAAAACATCTTGGCTTCATTCATGCTTCCCAGGGTTTTAGGTCTATGGGTTAAGTTTCACTCCAAGTATGACATTTAGAGTGCACAGTGTTTTATAATCTTTTTCTTTCAGTTCCAAGAGATGTGCTCCTTCCCCATAAACCAGACCCTGAAGTCTCTCAGAGCGAACCTGGTAAATGAATTGTTTTATTTTCCCAGTTAGGAAGTGTATTTTTCGAAAAATATTCTTGAGGTAAATATATTTTTGGAATGATTGTGATGTGGAAGAAGTTCTGAGAAAATTATGGGTAGAAAATGTGTATTTCTTTTGGGGAGGTTTAATCATACAATCTGCTTGACAAATTTTTCCCCATGAGAGAATAGTGTAGAATTAGTTTATTTTCCCTGAAAGTATTTTTGTTGAATAGAAAATCATGCTAAATTTATAAGATATAATTATTACCTGAGCCAACCATTTTCACCTTCTTTCAGAATGTAAATATAGCTACATTCCAAATGTGGGTATACTTTTAAGTTAAAAATATGGGTGCCTAATCAAATTTTCCTCATAGTGACAGTGAACAAAAACTTTAAAGTTTTAGTTGAACTAAGTTCCCTGGGTGTCACCTAAGGTATAGAATTTTCTCGTATTTATTATGATCCTAAGAGAATGTTTAAATGTTCAAACGGGTACATTGTAGAGACACAGAAACTGGGTTTACTTCACCAGGTAGTAATTCTCATAAATATATTTCTTTGGTTTGCTTTTGGCCTAGTTCTGCAACCTGTTACCTTTAGAATTGATCTGCCAGAGACAACACTAGGTAATGGTTTTCCCATTTGACCCACTCTAATTATTTTCCTGGCTGCCATCAAGATTGCAGGTCTTTCTCAAATGATCACATTGAAACATCATCTGTCCTCAGTCCTCTTCGTTGTTTCATTCTCATTATTTTTACTCTTTCCAAAATAGAAAGGCAGTGGTTTCAAAATAGAAGGGCAATGTTCTAAAGGTTTGCTCTGAAGACCAACTTAAGACAGCTCGCTACCGAGCCCATTCTCACTTACCTCATTTGTCTCTGTGTTCAGAATGATTCCACCTTACTCACGCCCACCTAGTTAACTTTTTCTGCTGGTTTAGTGGTTCTCAGCTGTGGTGTTATAACCCACTAACATGCTGTGGAAGATGCTGGCAAGTAATTATTATTAATATTGGTCAAAATACTAAAGTTTGCCACCCGTTTATTTTTTAAAATAAACTTGAACAGACGCCAGGTGCTTGCCACAGTGATGATATTCTCTCTCCTGTTGTAATCCTATGTGCTCTCTTGGATGGGAGAGCTGCAGCTGACAGACCAAGGACCATGTCTTACCCACACCCATCTTAACCAGCTATGGTCATAGAGTATGTCAAGCACTGAATGTCATTTATTATCTATCCTGGTGGAAAAAACAGTTGAGAACCATTATTCTATGTTCCACAGTCATCTTCCTGAAGGTTCTATGCACACTTAACTTTCTTCTTCCTGACTCACTTAATGTTTTCTGTTTTTCTATTTCAAATAAAGGAATCTCATGTAATATTATTCTGGCCGGGTGCTGGCTTTTGAATCTAAAGATTGACAACCTTGGTACTTGTCTTTTCAGCTCCTTTAGAGACACGAGGCAGCCCTTTCATTCCTATGATTTCACCGAGTTCTAGTCAAGAGGAACTACAAACCACTCTGGGTAAATTTTGTTTTACTATTTCAGTCCATTGAGGACTTAACATTTTAGGAATTGCCCTTAAAGTAGCCATATGTACTTTTGTGTTCATAGATTTCCAAACCACAGAGGGTCTCTTTTTATCATTATAAAAAAATACCCATTTCACTTGATTCTTTTACATTAACTGTATATTTGTCCTTCTAATATTTATGCTGATTTCTAATATAAAAGGAGAATATTTTGAAACATCTTGACAAAATTCCAATTATTATTATTATTTATTTATTTTTTTTGCGGTACACGGGCCTCTCACTGCTGTGGCCTCTCCCGTTGCGGAGCACAGGCTCCGGACACGCAGGCTCAGCGGCCATGGCTCACGGGCCCAGCCGCTTCGCAGCATGTGGGATCCTCCTGGACCGGGGCACGAACCCGTGTCCCCTGCACTGGCAGGCGGACTCCCAACCACTGTGCCACCAGGGAAGCCCTCCAATTATTTTTTTAGAAAAGAATCTTCCCAAAGTATATCAATGCTATATTCTCTTGTTGCTTTTTCATATTTGGAACTACATTTGGGAAGAAAAATTTCATCTAGTATTTGAATATCTTTTGGGGGCTAACTGCAATGCCAAGCAATAGGAATTCCAAAATAAAACTGTTTTAAAGGTTACCCTGGAGAGCTCGCCATCTAATATGAAGACAGGATTTAGCAGTAGCTGTGCTACCCAGTCTTCTACATGTATTTTTAAATTTAAGGCACGTAACAACTTTGTGAGGCAGTTTCTATTACTTGCCCCATTTTACAGCTTAGAAAATTGAGGCACAGAAAGATTTAAAAATCTGGTTAAGCCATACAGCTAACGTCAGAGCCAAATTGGAACCCACATACTCAGTCACCAGAGCTCCTGGAATTCACCCCCATGTTATACAATACAATGAATTCATAGAGAGATGAGCAGCATGCTGAGCAAGGAAACTACCTGGGGGTATCAGGGAAGGCTTCACAGAGGAGGTGACATGTATGCCGGGTCTTCCAGTTGGAATGAGAGTTGAAGTTAAAGGTGTGAAAGGTGAAAGACAGATAGGGAAGAGACACAGGGTAGAGAATGGCAGCCAGACTAATCTGATGAGCATCTGGGTAGCCTGGAGGAACACAGATGCATGAATGAGTCAGTAAGTTTGGTTGGAATGAGCTGGCCAGGCTTTCGAAGAGTTCAGCATCAATGTCTTCACTGTGTGGGAAACCCAATTTTGCCTGACACTTGGCTGAAGATGAACTGGAAAACAAGAGTTCCCAGCTTGTGTTTGTTGGCTTCTCTGCCCTGTCCATGCTACATCCCACATGGCTGTTTAAATCAGTGGTTTTATTTTCCTCCCTTCATCCATTTTCAGATAAACCCATCCCTTGTGTGTGTCTGCTGAAATGAAGTTACTGATCACATTTTAAAATGGAATCCTTTTCAAAGGAAAAACTTTTAAACTGAATGAGCAAATGTATCCTAATTACCAAATACTCATCTATTGTAGCCTAGGCCCTCAAAGTCAACATTACCCACGATGGCAAAGTCAAAAGTACTTATCAAGAACCAGTGCTGGATGTGCTAATTATCTAAATTCCACTCCCTGTTTTTTTTTTTTTAATGTACCCCATTTACTGGACCAACTATTACAAGAATCTCTCTTATGAGCAGAATCCAGATTATAAAACAGGCAGAAAATAAGATGACAACATATTATTTGCACCAAGTATTTCCTTGGATCCAGTAGGTAGCAAAGTGAACAGTGTAATTTGCTATGTCGGTATGATGTTGTAATGATTTCAAGATAATATGGGACTGGGAGTATTGCCATACTTATTTTTATTTTGTCAGGAGTAATGTACCAGTATGGCAATAAACAAACTTTGATTTTCACATGAGACAAATAGGATATTTATTCTTCTATGGTGTAAATACACATTATTTTCTATGACCTATTTTTTTTCCAGCTCACCTAAATAGTTTGTGGAGCTCATGAAATAGGGAGGAAACATGAAGGCAATAATACATAAAGACAGGAGGCATATCCAAGAATATAGCCACGTCCAGTATCATGAAACGATGATTCTGAACTAAAAGCTTTTGAAATCCTTATAATAATCATTAAAATAATAGTGCAAGAAGACAGTAAATATAATAAATGAGAGTTATTAAAATATACCATTATCTTTGACATACGATGGTTATTGGGCATAGTTATTAATGCAATTTACCCTTTTATCACCGCACGGGATAGAAAAGAGTAGGGTTTGTTTGTTTCCTTTTTGACCCATTCATAATGATAATCGTTTAAAGCCAGCCATCTTACTGTGTTTCCTCCAGCAGAAACAGACCAATCCACCCAAGAACTCTTCACAACTAAGTTTCCACGAACAACTGAATTGGCAAAGACAACTCCGGGTAATGCTATTTCCCCACCTCTGGATAGTAACTTTTCCTTCTTTTTTAAGCAGGAAGAAAATTTTCTTTTAAGAATGTAATTTTTCATCACAGTGAGTTAAGTTTTTTCATTGCATAGGTACAGGACATCAGCCAAATAGGAATATTTGTATGAATACCAGTTGAATGTAGGAAAGACAATTTCTTTAGTTAGAGCTGTGCTTTTGAATGTATGGTTGACTGCTTCATGCTGATGACTAAGAAAGAGAGCTCCCATTTTTTTTTCCCTTGCTTGACCTTCTTTTGCCTCATTTTCCACATCTAATAAATAAGAATCTTTATTTCCTTCTCCTTCTTCTCCTCCTTTCTCTCTCTCTCCTCCCTCTGTCCCATCTCCCAAACTTGATCAATGTGTTGGTATTGTGGCCTGAGAAAGGAAACTCGTAACAAGAAAAATCATTTTTTAATGATGAATTAATATTAAAACATCCAAGAAGCTTTATTCGGGGGTCTCCTTATATTATTTTTTCCTTCTACTTTTTGGGCAGTTAGCTCATCTACACAGAGCTGCCTCTCACATCTTCATGCTCTCGGTAGTCTTTCCTTTTTATATCTTTCTGTCCTACTTGGACTGTAACCAGTTGCAGATTTCTAGTATTTTCGTGTTTTCTTTTTTTCCCCTTAATTACGCTCTTTTGCCCATGTCTACCTCTAGCATATGGGAGAAAGCCCAAAAAACAAGGGCAAATAATTTTTAAAGAGTTGTAAGACAAATTTATTGTACTCAATTGTCAGTTATAACTGGGGAGGGAGCTTTGTGGAAGAAACAAAGCAATATGAGGAGATGATAATTAAAGAAATCTAATCTTAAGGTATATATTTTATAATAAGCAGAGCAGTACTTGTTCTAAATAAACATGACTGACAATACTCTCTACAGTACAGGACAGTTCTTGTAAATTTTGTAAAACTTTTGAACTTGTTTCATTTAATTTTTATAATGGTTTAAATGTTTATTTTATTATTTACTTTATTACCTTTCTACTTATTTTTAAAATAAAGTTAATATACACAGAAGTAAGGAGCCAGTATAATGACAGCCCTCCCACACCCTCATTACTAGCTTCAGCCATTAACAGCAGGTGTTCAAACCTATTATATCCATACCACATCCTGATTTTTATATGTTTATTTTTTAATGTTTTTGCAAACCTCTTTAATGTCTGGCTTGATAGAAGATAGCTGGATTCTCATAATCAAACACATTGATGTTTTTACAGCAAAACATATAAATACTTACAATAAGCAGGGTAAACACTTTATTCAGCTCAGGTTGTATTGCCAAATGAGAAAAAGATTTCAGCTTTTTTTTTTTTTTTTTTTTGCGGCGCGCGGGCCTCTCACTGTTGTGGCCTCTCCCGTTGTGGAGCACAGGCTCCGGACGCGCAGGCTCAGTGGCCACAAACCCGTGTCCCCTGCATCAGCAGGCGGACTCTCAACCACTACGCCACCAGGGAAGCCCCAAGATTTCAGCTTTTCAAAGCTTTGTAGATTTCAGAATTGAGGGTAAAAATCATAGACCCGTTCTTTTCTTGTTTTTGCTTTTTCTTACTTTAATGGGAGTATCAATATTTTTATCAAATTGCTTCTAGAACATGGTTTTATTAGATGAGTTTCACAGTTGATTGGTTGTATATCCAGGATCTGATATCATTCTATGAATTGTCTTAACATACTTATATAATGTACTGTATTTTAATTACTTTCTTATGTTCTGAAGATCCTTAGCTTGAGCCTAACTTGTGCAGCTCTGGGATTCACACTTTTCTAGACTCATGCCAAGGCTCTTTAAAGTGGGCTCACCAGAAATGCATTTCCAACCTGGTCCAGGCCAGTAACCCTTCTTGGGAGTAGAGGGTCAACTTTAGTAACAGCACACTGTGTGTCCTAGGATCACCCTCTGACCCAACCCTCATAAATGCGTGCCTGAGCTCTATGGACAAGGAGGTCAATCTACTGTATTATTTTTATTGTGTTGTGTTTTGTTTCTAATAGTAGGTATCAGATGTGCAAGACAGTGCACAACAAGTTGAGAGATGCTGTAGGCGTAAAATTGTTTCTCTTGGTCTTCATACTCCACCCACGCATGTACCAGGCCCTCAGCAGTGGGGCCCAAGTGCTCCAAAGAAACTTAGTGTCTAAAGCCTACAGCATGAACCTACTAGTAGGATCTCTGGCACATTTTCTCTGCGTCATTCTTGCTTCTTTTTCTGCCGATACAATTCCCTGCAGCTATAACCGAAACCCTGACCTAACTCAAGCTTCTCTCCTTTTCCCCTCTCATCTCAACCCATGGTAGAAATCCACTTGGCCAGAGGCATCCTGGGGACATTTTGATTATTTTACTTATTTCAGCCCCCTGATCCGTATGCCACCCAGGGCATAAGGGCTCCCTGGGTGTACCCTTGTACCTTGTACCCTTCTTTCCCTCTCCCTATACTGGGCAAAACAAAGGTCCTTCAAGGTATTTCTCCTGTAATCCTTGTTTATCTATTTTTGATGTTATCTTTGTCAAGTATTTTTAGTGTTCTTTTAAAATAATTTTTATAAAACTCTTTAGATGTGAAGCCATCTTTTAAAATTATTTTTATTATTAGTCACCAAAAGCTATGTGGAGATGATATTTACAATGTTACATTCTCACAATGCACCTTTGTCTTTTTTTTTTTTTTAGTTTAAAATTGAAACCCTCAAGCAGTTTTCTCAAGGCCATGTGTTACCTGGTGATGAGCTATGTGAATAACTCACAGCCCAAACATAAGTTATATTTCAGCTCCTTTATAAAAAGTTCTTTCAAGATTTAAGTAAAGACTGTATAAAAAATAAAACCAAAACTCTGATCCTGTGGCTTTGAAATAATGAATGTAGTGCTGATTATTTCTACACTCTTCTCTGTTTCTTTTCTAAAGTTTTCAAATTCATATGTGTTCTAGAATGATACTAATAAGAGCCATGATTCTTATGTTTCTTTAAGCAAAAGCAATCTAACATTGAAGAAATTAACAAGAAAGCTGAAATATGTTCAACTGACAGGGAATCCTACCACTCTCAAAGAAAATTGAAGAAAACCATTTGCAAATCATCATCACACATTTTAGGGCATGTGAGAATTGATTATTTTTAAATAAATCAGTACCTCTGTTCACTCTAGTTATTTCACTTTGAAAGGAGCACATTAAACCTACAGAGAATTTCAGTATGTGTCTGCTGGTTTTGGCCTGAGTATGGCAAAATTCTACTCATCAGTCCTCGCATAGGAAGTTTATAAATGAGCTACATTATAATCTGTTTTGCAGGTATATTTTTTAATGTGGTAGGCAAGGCATTTGCTGATTTATGGTTACATAAATACCCATTCAAGATGTGAACAAAATCATTGAAATGGTGTAATCTACTTAACAAAGTTTGCAAGAAAATTTTTTCCAGTCTTAGCTAAAGCATGACCAAGAAAGTTGGTGGCAGGAAGCAACGTGGTGTGTCAAGGGTGGCAGAGGAGGGAAGGCAAGGATAGACACATCCCAGGATGGATGCACACCTTAAAAGCTTAGGGAGCAAAAATATTTCAGCTGAGTTTCTCATGAATTTGCCTGCTTACAATGGTCACTAATTTTTTAAATGTATTTGACAACTCTTCGTTAATGGTCCTCACTGTGCCAGGCCCTGGATAACAGGAGCAGGAAGTAACAAGGTGGCATGTTGGTCCAAGGGCTGTCTGAGTTCTTGATCTTTGCTCACCCTCTCTTGATGGGCAGGATACCAGAGGTCATTTTCTCTCATCCCTAAAGCTTTAATGGATGGCACTAAGTGAGTATTTATTCACTTCCGGGTTCATGAGCTAAGACAATTAGATACAGACCACATGTTTCCACTCTTTTCTTCTTACATACCTAAAAATATTTTTCTTTCTGCCTTTAATAGTATTTGTCTCCTTTGGCAAAATAATGTTTCACAGTGACTCCCTAATTGAGAGATGTGAATGGATGGATGGATGGGTTGATGGACAGACACATGGATGGATGGAGGGGTAGAAGGTTGGCTTATATGTTTACCATATTAAGCAACCATGTGGTGAAATAAATGCCCCTGAAAAACATGGACTAAATGATGACTAATCCTTAACACACATTACCAATGACCTCCCTCACTTTGACTGTGTGCATCTTTAATTTCCAGGCATGAATATTTTCACTTGCTTTTTTTCCCTCAGCATCAATGCTGTAATGCATACTTGGAGATTTAAGAATATTCTTTATACTTCCATGCAAAGTGTACAAGTTGTTGGTCTGTAGAGTACTAAATCTCCATTTATTGAGCTCAGGAGTGCTGGTTATTAAATGTGAAGCGTTTCCTCTGTTTCAGCACCACACAGATTGTATACAACTCCTGTGAAGCCCAGAACACCTGACAAACCACACATCAGGCCTGGTAAGTCGTTTCTCTTTCTGATGACCTAAATAATCAGCATATCTAAGAAGATATAAAATGTATTGAGAAATTCCCTGGCAGTTCAGTGGTTAAAACTCCACGCTTCCACTGCAGGGGGCACGGGTTCAATCTCTGGTCAGGGAACTAGGATCCCACATGCTGCATGGCACTGCCAAAAAAAAAATATTGAAACAGCCAAATAAACCAAATGAAGCCTATATATCCTTAAACTGAAATAAATTACATACAAAATTCTGATCCTTGTGGGTAAGTAGAGAGGAAATAATGAATCCATGGAAGTGGCAAGACTTGACTGAGATTTTTAAGGATAATCAGATTTAGATACCACCACGGAAGCTTAACAATATAAAAGCATTTTTAAAATAGTATTTTTGCATAAATCACACACACTCTCCCCTCCTCCTTCAGTTTTCCATGGCAATTATAGAGATAGCATTAGCTATGATATATTACATGTTTCAAATGTTATCTTTTGAGAAAAGACCTCTTCCATTATAAAAGACTTGTTCTGGGAGAATATTTTTACTTGATTCTTTCAGATTAAAAAAAAATGAAAAAACACATTTTACAGGTTTTAAACATCAAAGTAAAGTGAAAATAAACTGGAAAATACTTTTTTTTTTTTTTTTTGGCCACAACATGCATCTTGCAGGAACTTAGTTCCCTTACCAGGGATCGAACTTGGTCCCCAGCAGTGAAAGCACTGAGCCCTAACCACTGAACTGGTAGAGAATTCCCAGAAAATACTTTAAATCTAAATTCACCAAAGGATTTAGGATCTCCCTCACTGGAGCTGTTAGTGAAAAGTTAACTTGGGGGTTGATTTGGTCCATATAAATCACTCCTATGCTAACATACAAGTTGGACCAGAGACCCGGTGTTTTCTGCCCCTTTTCTCCTCTGTGATTCTAAGAAGTTTTAAAGTTCTAAATGAAAAAATGGCTTATAAGCTAACATTCCCGGTGAACATCTCTCCAGGCACATGGAAGAAAGAACAAATACATTTTTCTTTGATTTATGGAGGAGCCCATATTTTTTGGAATAATCCTCCGACTCCATGTGATTTTTCTATCATGATAACTGTTGAGAATTTAACGTGTGGCTGGTTATATTAAACCTTTCTACAAAATAAGGAAACAGTAACAATAATGGCTAACAGTGATGGTGTGCTAACCATGCATCCTGTGGGGTAAGGCTGAGGAAGCTAAGGCTTAAGAAGGGCTGGGAAGTGGATTCGAAGGCAAGCAGTCTGGCTTAAGAACTCACTCTCTTAATCGCGACACACTTAGTGCTTTTCCTTGAAAACTCTGCTAAATGGAAGATAAAAAGCTGACTTCAAGGTTTTTGTACTATTATGACTCTCAACAGAGCAGGAGAGAAATTTCAATGGTTTTATCATAGTTCTGAGTTTAACGGTGGACTTGGGCCAAGATTATGAGGAAGCATATGTACCTAGAGACTCCTCCAAAAGGACCACGAACTTATGTGTTAGGAGGCCTTGACAAATAAATACACATCAAGTTTTGGGTTTTCTTTCGGCATATGTAGTCCTGATCTTTCTTCAGTCCCATTTTGGAATGTATCTAGTGCTTATCAATGAAGCCAGCTAGTTCCCACTTAGAAATATAAATTCCCTCTATTTTTTCAAGCCCAGTGATCACCTCAGAGTACATACTCAGGTCTCAAATTCAAGTCTATGATTTTTATACCAGACTTGTGATTTCTATATTCTGAACAACAGTTTTTGGTGAGTCATCATATTTTTATCGCCCAGTTAAATGACTTCCAATTCTCTGGAAAGTTTTATTTTCCTTGGCTACAAATTTTCAATTAAAAAATGTCTAAACTACTTATTTCCCACTTTATTGTAGTTCTGAATAGGACAACTGCAAGACCTAGTAGACCCAAACCCAGTACAATGCCCAAAGGGAATGGAATGGAAACAGGTAATGATCACCAATTTATTTCCTTTTGATCCTATTAAACTCTAAATGTTTTCATTCAATTTTTATAATTTTGTTGAATGCACATTTCAATTCCTTTTTTTACCAGTTTTGTTAGTACAGCCAGTTTGGGAAGTTCATAGAATTGAAACTTGTAATTCATTCCGAAGTCAAAATTTCAACAACAACAACAAAATTTCAAATGTCTCTGAAAAGATTAAAATATAGTTTTTCACTTTTCTCAGCCTAGTCCACTAAATCAGCTACAGCTACAATATATGGTCTTGATTCTTAAAAATATCCTGAATATGAATTATTGAATTAAAATATCAAAAAAGCTGTTTCCCTAACTTCAAAACACTTTCTATATACAGGTTTGGTCTTTGAGATTGTTATCACTTCGTTTTCCAGTTTATAATTTCGCAAATACCACTGAAATTTTTTTAATACACCCAGATCTGTTAGCCACCTGGAATATGACATTTAAATGAGAAGAGCAGTTAGCAAATGATCACCCTGGTTACAAGCATATCAGTGTTTCCAAATCATTCAGTTTGATTCAGTGACATTGCCCTAATCCAGTCTGGTCTATGGAATATCATACAGATAAAAAGAACAATGATCTGATAAAAGTTCAAACACTCAACTCACTAAGTGGATAAATGGTAGTTATTAAATGCCTTAATATGGGATTGCATTGTTCCCTTGAAATGTTTTTTAAATAGTGCAAATCTTGTGCCTGCTTGTGTAAAAAAGCATAAAAATTAGTTTATTTAATATGTATATATAAAATCAACCCATAATTATTCCCTAATGAGAAAGAGATATGAATACTACCTGAAGACATGTATTCAGTCTAAAAACGATTTAGGGGCTTCCCTGGTGGCGCAGTGGTTGAGAGTCTGCCTGCCGATGCAGGGGACGTGGGTTCGTGCCCCGGTCTGGGAGGATTCCACATGCCACAGAGCGGCTGGGACCGTGAGCCATGGCCGCTGAGCCTGCGCGTCCGGAGCCTGTGCTCCGCAACAAGTCTCTTACCAGGACTTCTTCAGTTTAATTAGTTGGTTGCTGGTAGAAATAGATTGATGGACTACTGAGCCCACACGCCACAACTACTGAAGCCTGCACACCTAGAGCACGTGCTCTGCAAAAAGAGAAGCCACCATCACAATGAGAAGCCCACGTACCGCATTGAAGAGTAACCCCTGCTTGCGGTGACTAGAGAAAGCCTACGTGCAGCAATGAAGACCCAAGGCAGCCAAAAATAAATTAATTAATTAATTAATTTTAAAAAATGAGCAGACAGGATATTAGCAAGAATAGAGATCTAAACAGCACCATCAACCAAATAGACTCACACAATTATGGTGAAATGACATGGGGCAAAGGTATAGAGGCAGTTCAACAGAGAAAGGACAGTGTTTTCAAAAGATGGTGCTGGAAAAACTGGATATCTGTATGCAAAAACACTAAACAAAACAAAAACTAAGCAAACAAAGAACTCCCCTACCTAAACAAAAAGGAACTCAAGGTGGATCATAGATCTAAATGTAAAATGTGGGGCTTCCCTTGTGGTGCAGTGGTTAAGAATCCACCTGCCAATGCAGCGGGCATGGGTTAGAGCCCTGGTCCAGGAAGATCCCGCATGCCGCAAAGCAACTAAGCCTGTGTGCCACAACTACTGAGCCTGCACTCTAGACCATGTGAGCCACAACTACTGAGTCCATGTGCCACAACTACTGAGCCCATGTGCCACAACTACTGAAGCCCGCATGCCTAGAGCCCATGCTCCACAACTAGAGAAGCCACCTCAATGAGAAGCCCACGCATCACAATGAAGAGTAGCCCCTGCTTGCAGCAACTAGAGAAAGCACACGTGCAGCAGCGAAGACCCAACACAGCCAAAAATAAATAAATAAATACATAAAATTTATTTAAAAAAAAAAGAAAAGAAATAGGTTGATAGGCACAGGTAAACAAAGCTGAGCTCATTGTTTCCCCTTTCCTTGCTCCACTACCATCCCCAATCAAAATGTGTTGCACATGTTCTATGTTCTGATGTCTGTCTATTGGGATCCCCCTTCAGGGAAGGACTTGCCTGACCTACCTGAAGGGAATGAAGTCAACAGACAGTATCCCACTGTCATATCCTTCACAGTCAGCCTCAGCTGAGAGGGCCTTGATCGGAGATATGGGTGGTACATCTCCTTGTCTACCACAACATATAACAACCAAATGATATTTACCTCAGGAATGCAAGATTGGTTTAACATTCAAACAAATTAGTGTAATTTACCACATTAAGAGAGCAAAGGAAAACATCATATGATCATCTCAATAAATTAAAAAAAAAATCAACCATTAGACAAAATTCAAAAAACATTCATGATGAAAACTCTCAGAAAACTAGGAATAGAAGGAATTTTCCTCACTCTGATAAAGGGCATCTGTGAAAAACCTACAGCTACCATCCTGTTTTACAAGGAAAGTTTAAATGTTTTTCTTCTAACATCAAGAACATAAGCAAGGATTCCTACTTTTACCCCTTCCGTTGAAAATAGAAGCAGAGTGTTAAGCCAGTGCAATAAGGCAAGAAAAGAAGTAATGGTATAAAAATTGCAAATTACAGATGCCATTGTGTAGCATATTATGAAAGGAAAATTTAACACCTCTTGAAGTATTTGCCTGGGGAATAGTGTCTTGAGAAATTGGTGAGAAAAAGAATGTTTTTAAATCTGTTCTCTTCAGGTTGTAGACTTACATGAGTCCACATTACTTAGACTGTGCCTAGTTTTGATCTAACTTGTTAATAGAAATGCAGGTATTCACATCAAGTTTCTTTTCTTTCTTCTCTGACCCAGTCCTACTATCTCATTCATACTCACTTCTAACCTCTATTGAGTCTTAATGAGATACCATTTTTGTGTTAACTGATTCCTTATCCAAGTTTGACATTTCACCCATAATATGTATGTTTGTTATCCATCTCACATATATTTTCCTATAGCTTTTCTTGCTGAAGTTTTCAGCACAGATATTTTACATATAAAAAAATCAGTTGATAAAAGGATGTGTTTAGGATTTATAGGACATATCCTTCATGATTTTAGGCCACTTAATGTTGTGCCTTTGGAAAACTAAAAAAGAAAGATTCTGAGGCCTCAAAACTATGGTCCTTGATTCTTTGGGCCTCTACACAATTCTTTCAATGATTCCATAAGCCCCAGGAATCTTTAAATTATCTTGAGCAAAGTTTCTTGATTTATAACATCATTATAGATATTTACCCTGCTTTATGTTTATTTCACATGTATATGTATAAATATTTCTCCACCTTAAAGTTAGAAAGTAGCCTTCAGAGAATGAAGTTTTAAGTAGCTCATTTTCCCAGCAGTCTGCTTTTTCAGGGTTTCCAGAGATGTATCTCAGCTTAATTATGTTCTACATGTTATAACCAACTTGAGATCTGACTCCAGAGATGCAACAGCATGCCCTAGACCAAGGGGATTGCACAGAGTACAATCCCACAGACCAAACCCAGCTCACTGTCTTTTTTTCGTAAATAAAGTTCTATAGAAACATGGCTTGCTTTCACAATATAGTGGCAGAATTGAATAGTTGTGACAGAGACAGTATGGCCCACGGAGCTGAAAATATTTACTGTCTAACCCCTGCCAGAAAAAATTTGCCCATTCTGTGCTAGACAATCTCTCCAACTTTCTCCCTATGGAAGGAAGCTGCTGAGTTGTGCAACTATTCTTTCATTCAACTGACATTTATTGAAAGCCCATTATGTGCCAGGCAAAATGTAGTTTGGGAAGCACTTGGCACATGCGGTTTGGCAGATATATTAGATACCTGAACCCCAAACTCCTTTCTCTACTCCTTCTTCTCCTAATGAGGAATCCACACTTCACTGACCCCACACGGAGTGTGCCTGACAACAAGAACCCAGACTCCTCCAAGGTGAGGAATGTGTTTGTCTGAGCTGTGGCTAAATCTTCCAGTCTGCTGGCTCATCACCCCTGACTTTTTAGCCAGGTGCTAAGGTTTGGAGACAAGGGTGAGGAAACCAATCATCCATAAATACCACTCCTTTTGGTCACAGGGAATAGTCTCTGTTACATTTGGAAATTGATTCCCAGTTTACTGTGTTTGTTTGCAAAGCTTCTGTTACCATGGTTAAAAATACCCAAATCCTTACTTCATTTTTGACAATAAATTGCTAAAGGGTGAACTATGTAAATCCAGATATTTTTGGAGAAGTCCCATATGGCAATGGAGGTTCACACTGAAGCTGAAGTCTTGGTTCTTCCAGAGCCAACTCTGCCCTTTAGAAAACAGTGGATTAATCCTGCCTGAGGGAAAAAGAATTCAGGTCACAGCCTGGGCCAGACTGGCTGATTGCCAATTCCTGAGGATTCTTTCTCTGCAATAGCTCTTATTGGCTTCTCCTTTGCCCTCCCATTGCCTCTCTGCTACCTTTGGCATTTATTTGCTCTCCTCATTTCAGGGCCGCAGAAGTTCACTGGTCTCCAGGTCCTGTGCTCACACTGCTCCTGGCTGACATGCAAACCACAGCTAGGTGGAACCAAGGCCAGAACTAGAGCTCAGTCTCCTGTCCGCTGTTCAATGCTCTTTCCCTGCGTCCCGCAGCTGCCTTCTGCTGGGTTCTTACCAACATTCTCATCCACTACTGGCTTTTCTCTGTTTCTAAAGGCTGGACAAAGTCCAGTTTAGCAGCTGACATTCTATTGATTTGGGTACTTAACCTATAAGAATTGTAACAGTATGATGCTTCCATCTCTGCCTATACAGAAAGTGACAGAAAATGGCTCGTTTCTGCTGATTTCTCCTGTAACTGGAAAAGAGGCCAGGGATGTTTACATGTTTGATCTTATTCATAAAGTAATCCTGCAGACTTTTGTATTCTCTCCTACATCTCCATTTCACCAGCCTGTGACTTGTTGGATTTGCATGTGCCTGGTTGGGAAACCATGTCATCCTTGTATTTCTGAGTCCCACACACCAGTGGCATGGATGAATGACACGTGCTTGCCAGCCATGGCTGTTTAGCCCTTACCCAGTGGTGGCACTTCAAACCACCCAAAAGAAAAAGTATAGGACTCGAGGGCTAAAGCCAGAGTCATTGTGAAGAGTAAGAGAAGCGTTAAAAACAAAATTCAACCAAGTAAATTTGAAGATTTAATTGGCTTTATTCAACAATTTCTGAATCAGGCAGCTTCCCATTTAGCAACCAGAAGGGCACTCTGAAGGGTTGTACAAAATGAAAGGTTTTTTTTTTATAGGAAGAAGGGTGGGGCAAGGGAACTATTAGAAAAAGAAAAGAAAATACTATTTTTAGGCCAGGACAACTTCTTTTTGGGTAGAAGGGAGTTGCATGGGTTTTAAGTAGATTGCCTCTTCTTCCTCCGGGGGATGAAGGGCGCAGTGCTGACCAGAATATTCCAGACTGGTTGATTGAGATTACATTTCTGGGGAAGGTCAAAACTGCAGTTAAGTCAGCTTTTAAGTCTAGGCTTGGTGTCATGGGCTTTAGCACAAGTGATGCCGTTTTGGGCCTGTGGTTTTCTCTTTAACATAGGGAAGAAGATGACAGGAAAAAGCACTCTGTACTATCCCAATTAGTGCTTAGGAGATGGGCTTTGGAGCTGGGCACACATGGGTGTGAATGCCTCCACTTCAGCTGTGAGTCCTTGGGCAAGTGCTTACTCTCCCCTTGCCTTGGGTTTCCTCATCTGTGAGACCCGGGTGGTATCTCCCACCCAGAAGAGTTGTATGGATCAAATCACGTCATGAATATGTAAGGCGCTTGCGCAGTACTGGATCAAAATACTTTGTTTTCTTAAGGGTGGAAAGATTTGGAGAAAGGCTATGAAGAAGGATCTACTGAAGTCACACATAGCCTACTAAGCTTCTAGAGGATATAATACAGTTTTACCCTCAAAAAATAGTGGTAAATCAGATCTCAGCAAGCCACGTTATCCTGGTGACACAAATGAAAGCACTCTGCCTTCCCTTAAGCCATGGACAGAGTAACCACCCAAATGAGTCACTTCCCACCTCCATTACCACTAAGAGGAGGGCACAGGAAGAAAACTAATGAGCTATTTGTTCTCACAATGCCTGTGGGATGAGCCACAAAATAGTCAGTGACCACAGAAACATTTTATTCCTACCACAAATCAACAGCAGTTGATTCGTGGCTACATACATTCACCTTGATTTTATATGTTATCTCTTATTCAAATAGCAGAGGGTGTGGGATTGTAATATTGGGTTTCATAAATTAATGTTAATCATAATTATTATTATAACTGTTAATAATACTAATAAGTTAATATTATAATGCTGACTAATGCCCATTATAGTTATAATAATTTCATAAATTAATGTAAAAATATCAGCTTCTGTTGTATACTTAATATATCTGCCTACACGTTAAATGAGACTGGGTGTATAATGTCCCTACAGAGTCCTGGAACTCAAAACAGGGTTGTTGTTGTGCTTGTCCTTGTTAATATACTAACTAGCATTTTAATTCAATGTTTATTCTTATTTTTTAATTGGTGAATTAGAGTCAGGTCCTCAGAGTATGGATTCTCTTTTTAGGGTGAGCCATTATATCTAAGATAATATTTACTTTTGAGATTCTAAAAAACGTCTGTTCCTATTATTTCTTAATGAAGACTGCCGGCCACATCAGGGAAGATTATTTTATAATGTAAAAGAATAATAATTTTTAAAAAGCAGGACAAAAGCTAAATTGGTTCCCTCTACCCTTAGGATTGCTACCCAAAACCCTAGAACCAGATTGTGTTTGAGGGACTTAGGAGATAAAATAGCACGCAAAGTAATTTTCAGGTCAGTTTCTTCCAAACAGCAATTTGGAATTCTAGGCGTGCCCAGGCCTAATTTACAAATCTCAAAAGCACAGATCCAGTCTGTGGCCTAACCAGCCTTCTAGCCAAGAACTCTCAAAATATATTTTTAAAGTCAATTCATTAAGTACAAACCCAAACACACTGGAATTTTAAGGGTTTTCATTGGGGTAGAGGAGTTGGAGAAAAGTTTTTTAAAAACCACAAAATTTGCCCATGAATATTGGCAAAAAGAAAAAAATAGCCAATCACTGTAGATGAACTACTCCTAGCAAAACAATATCACCCAGGCAGGCAGTGCAGGGTGGGCATCATAGAAAATTCAGGCAAAACCACGTTCTGCAATCAAACACTAACTCTGCAGAGAAAAAATCACAACTAATGAATGCAGTAGGGCTTTAAGGTTTTTTCCTATACACAGATGGGAGAAGCCCATCAAACTCTCGGAGCACAATAAGTTTCTGTGAAGACTACTTACCACATTTTTTGCTATCTATTTATTCTGTCATCCTCTCTGCTCACAGGGGTCAAGCAAGCACCACTGCCATCCGGTGCTGATGGAAATGTGTCAGTGGACTCTTCTTACTCCACAAAAAAAACAGGTAAGGAATAAAATGCTGACTCCCTCACTCAGCTCTGCTCCGAAACTTGTAACTGCAAGTTACATGTGCTGCAGCAAAAAAAAGTAGCATCCTCACCGTCCCCAAAGCATCAGAACCATGCTAACAGTACAGGGGTATTCCTAGATAAACATACCAAAATATTATCTTCAGGAAAATAAAAAGCACTTTATGCACAAATTGAATATTAATAAGTACCTCTAACGAGGCACTGATTTAATAATTACTTTATATAATGTTCTGAGGGGCCACAGTGGACAAATGCTGAAGCGTAACGGTGGATTCTACCTTTCATCATATACAAGTTTTGTTCTTATGTAATTTATTATAATATCCTTTTGCCTGAAATGATTTATGTTTCTAATTTGAGGCTGTGCTCTATATAATAGGCCAAAATTATGAAGCGATAATATCTTTGCATTGAATAAGAACTCTGTGCTTTTAAAAGGATGCTGTGAAACCTACTCTGATGTATTAATGTCTGGGTTAGAGATCTGTATTGTATCCTCACCACTCACTCTCCCTCCCGCCCTGCAGTACATGCACACACGTGCACAATTCCTAATATCCCAGGAAGTACTTAAAGCCACAGGGTATTTTCCTGGATTGTCAATTTTACTTGAAGATTTTTAAACCAACATATTATGCAAAGAAAGAGATGAATTTTTAAGCTATAACACAAGACTTAAAAGAAAATTTGGGTTAAGGTGGTCTGCTCCAGGTACCTCTAGCCTTGTCCACCTTTGTGCAGATTATAAAAAGGTGTCTCTTCCCTTTGCCCTTCGGGCAAACCATTTAGAAAAACGTTCCTTTCCTCTGGGCTGGCAGCCTTGCACCAGGGCTCATGGGTGTGTGAGAGAGCAGAGTGGATGTGAAACTTTGCCTTCCACTTACAGCTCCCTGGCCAGGTGCCCGTGTGTGGTGACTCTGCTCTCCATGGCCACAGGCTTATTGCTTCTGCCATCAGGGCTATTTTGTTGTAATCGTTTGAGAAGTTCTGAAAGTGTTTGTTTAATTATAATTACATAATAGAGTTGGAGGATGGAGTGGAACACCTACTAAAGGAGAAATTATATGCTTTACCAACTCAAAGCTAAAATGGTGTAGGAATTGTAGCCTGCAAATCAAAGGCAATTGGAAATAATGAGACACAGAAATGCTACTGTCGAGTCTATATAGGAAACTAAAGATGATAAATTCTATACATCTATTTTCTACTTTTCCTTTCAAAGGGCAGATGTACTGATATATTTTCATCTATAATTAGAGAATATTTTACCCATACACAAATGTGCTTCGTTATCCCTGGGTACGTTACAAGCACTAATTTAGAAGAACATCAGAAAGTATTGCAGGCACTTTTCTGTAGAATCTATTCTCTCTCATCCAGCTGCTACTTGTCAAACATTATATATTTTTAAAACCCATGATTTTTATAGAGTGAATCCTTATGACCACTTTATCTGTAATATAATCTCCTAGCCACAATCCCAGGCACTCGTCGCCCACCCTTGCCACCTAGACCCATGCCCCCACGAAGAAAGCCTTTACCACCAAATAATGTCACCGGAAAGCCAGGAAGCGCAGGTACGTCAATCACATACCTTCCTTCTCCCTCCTTGATCTCACTGGCCAAACGCAAGCCCTTCTTGGTGTGATAGCTCAAGCAATGGACGAGCCCTTGGTGTGTGTGACATATGCCTGTTTTGGCCCCAAAGACCAGACTGTACATTATAGTTTTGAGGACTCACATCCTGATTCTGGGTGGATGGGGTGAAAGCAACCACCCATGTCCATCTAGGCCAGTTTGCTTCTTAGATGCTGTGTGCTTTGTGCTGAGAGAGAAGCTATCACAATTTCTTCAAAAAGTAGATTATTTTGGATGAGATGTTTTGTGCTGCCAACCCACCAGGTGTAATGGAAAATATCGTCCACTCATCATCCTGTCTCTTGAGATAGAATCTTTTACATCTCATTGATAGCTCCCTTGTCCACCAGCCTTCATGCTGACCCCAGTATTACGGTGCAAGGGGAAAGATTGGGAACTGGAATACTCAGGGTGACTGAGCAGGTCTAGCCTGTTGCAACAAGGCAGGAATATATTTTAAAGTCAAGCTGCCTCTCAGCTTGCTCACATGCCTCTATCCTAGGGCATGTGTTGTCTTCTTCCCATAGAATGACCACTCCGAGTCACCTGGGATACTTGTACTTCATCCTTGTCTTGAAGAAGCCTTCTCTAGCTCCCCAAAGGAGACTTAGCATTGCTTCTCTGTTCTACTTTTCCTTGAAACATACCTCTATTAGAGCAAACCACTGTTTTATACCTATTTGTTTGTGTACTTGTCTTCCCCTACTATATCATGAGCTCTTTGATGACAGATGACATTTTCTCTGAACTCCCAGAACCAAATCCAGTGTTCATTGACTGAATCCAGTAATCATTGAGTGAATATGTGAGTGAAATTAAGAATCAGTGAACCTAGTTCAGAGCAAAGATTCACCTCACTTTTCTTAAAGTTTCTTCCAGTGGACCTACCAGCAGATCAGATCATGTTCCCATTTTTCCTCCCTCTTCCTTCATCTCTACTTCCTAAATATTCTGTAGTCAGAATCAGGATAACAGTGTTAAGGACAGCTGTGAAAGATGAAACTGATAAGGATTTCTGAGAAAGAGAATGACTGTCACTCTTTTCACAGGATGAAGGAGGGTGTGGTGATGGAGAAGCTTTCATGATGTAGCAAGGGGACAGTGGTCTCTAGATTGTTTTTTCCATCAGCTGAAAGAGGAATCAGCCTCTCATCCATGCTGATGGTGCCTTCCTGGGTCCAGGCCTAGCGACATGGCCCCAGTGAGGAGAGCAGGTTTTCCTCATTAATTGTAACCTGGGGCAGCTGTGACTTGAATTTCTGTAGCTTTTAGTTCAGACTGAAAGTGATGCCTCAGTTTCCCCCATGGAAGAGTCAGGGGAACCTCCCACCACAGAGCTCCCCTACAAGGCTGTGTGTCTTCAGTTGCACCTCCACGGCCTTGGTTCCTGCCATATGAAACCTTGCTCACTGCCATCAAGAAGTGTAGCTTTGGTATAACTCACCCAGCCTGTGGGATGGTATAAACACATCCCACTTCTGAGATTCACTCTGGTGCCTTCCCTGCCCCATGCTTTCCACCTCTAACTCAAAAGAAATGACTACACTGAAGAGCCAAACACAAATGAGGTCAGTTATACAGATTTGGCCTGATGACCATCACAGAAAGTGCGTACGGAATTCAGGAAATCAACTCAATGTTCTGGGAGTCCTCTGAACACAAGCCTTCTTGCACATGTGCCTCTGAGAACAGTCTTAGGCTACTACGAGGCATCTCCACCTGTCCCCTATCTCCAGATCTACCGAGGCCTCTCAGTCCCACTCTCCTTGCCAGGATGAGTGCTGCTCTGCACCCTCTAGAAAGCTCCTTCAGGCTGCAGTGCAGTGTCTCATGGTTTTCACTCACCCTCTCATTGGGGCCTACTCCCACCAGGACCAGGAGCATAAGTCTGCAGGGGCTGGACCAGCAGCCCATCTGAATGGCTCATCCGTGATTCTGTGCTGGGCCACAGTCCTTGGGTCAGTCTTGTACCCCTTGACTCTCTATTGTCTGAGAATGATTCCTTTTCCCAGGAGGACTATAAAACCTAATCTAGCCTCCACTCTATTCTACCCATACTTGCCTAGACCTTGGGATGCATCCTGTTTGGGAGACCTATAGGTGTTTTTAGAGTGGAGGAGACATTGTTCAATATAGCATCTCAGGGTGACACTGTTCTAGCTACAGGCCAGAATCACAGACATTACCTTAGAAACTTCTTCTTCTTCCCCCCCCAGCCATCTCCCATGCCTGCCAGTTAATCTGCAGTGAGGCCACTCCATCCCCTTGACATTTCTCATGTAAAACCCCTTCCATCCAGTCTCACTGCTTCTTACATTGTTCACCTCCTCTGCCCTTGCCTACGCAACTGCTTTAATCTCTTGATTTCTCTCTCTGCCACCAGCCTTGCAACTTAACTGTTCACCCTCTCCTCATCTGATCATGTTACTTCCCTAGTGAAAATCTTTTAATGGGTCCTTATCACCTAAAAATAATATCTAAATCCATGGTATGCAAGGCCCTTCATGAACTGCCCTTCCCGGCCCCTCCGTACTCTGCTCTCACTGCTCCTGGCACTCTTGGCTCTCACCCCTTCAAATTCAACACGCTGTGTGATTTCATGCTTCCCTGACCTGGTTCTTCCTGCAACCTCTGACTAGAATACAGCTCTCAGGCTTACCTACTGATCACTTCTCCTCTTTATTGGTACATCCTCTGGGAAGGCATTCCTGCCCTCCTCCCACCCAACACTCATCATCTTTCCCTGTAGACTTGTCCTCTCTGAGACCTTATCCCATGCTTTCACAATATCTATAATGCTTCAGTATAATTTGTCTCACACATCTCTCCCGATCAAGGACACCAGGTCTTATTTTCTCTCTAATCCTGGCATATAGTGCCAAGCCACATGGTAAGCGCTAATAAATATTTATTGAGTAAATAAATGGGGAACTCAGCAGGGCTCCCTATAAAGCCTGAATCCTTTGGCTCTACATTACAGGAATCATTTCATCAGACCGAGTAACTTCCCCACCCTTGAGGGCAACACTCAGACCTACTGAAGCCCCCTTGGAGAGAACAGAGACAGATAAAAAGCAACCAACAGCTCCTGCCTCAGGAGAAGATCTTGGTTAGTATATCAGTCACTTCCCACTGGATGCTTATCTACGAAGTACTAAAGGATTTCAAACTAGGGAGAAAAGAGTCCCAGTTCTGGATCATCTATTTTACTCAATTTTATGATTGCTATGAATTTTTTAATTTAAAAATTATACTTATTTCTAATGTTTTATTATAGAATGTGCTCCTTCCCTTTGCAGACATAGAATGAAGTTCCCAAGATCTTTAGGAAAGTCTTCCTAAAAAGATCTAGATTACCCAGTGCTGCTTACTAAATCGCATGCCATTACTAATTACGCATATCTTAATTTATTAATGAGTATTAGCTACTTGCTTGTAATCTTTGAATCATTATTTATTACACTGAAGGGCACCAGCAGGACACAATTAAAGGCCTTTTAGGGTGGATAATATGTATAGTAATACTAATAATAATTGAAATCAAATTGCAAGGAATTGACTAGGAGGCATATGTATTAAATATTTATAGTTTTACTACTTTTTCATTGTATCTTCCATTCTCAGGTAATATGACTGACTTTAGCTCAAGTCCAACAAGAGAAACTGATCCTCTTGGGAAGCCCAGATTCAAAGGTATGTATGACTGGCTCCAAATATCCATTTTAACAAAGCTGTCTTTGGTGGGTATATCAGTCAGCTGTTGCTGTGTAATAAACAACCACAAAATCTTAGTAGTATACTCTAAAAAGGATTTATTTCTCATGTGTCTACAAATTGCCTGGAGGTCAGCTGATCTACCATGTGTTTGGCTGGGTGGTTCTACTTCTAGCAACAGGTACAGCTGGGCCTCTTATAGGTTGGACTCAGGTCTGCTCCACATCTGTTTATTTTGGTGCCCAGGATGAAGGACTAACAGTGACCCAAGAGAAGCTATTCTCATGACAGTACAAAGTGAAGAGAGGGGGAGTCCAAAAACGTGACCACATTTCAAGCTCCTTCTTGTGTTATACCTGCCAATATTCAATGGCTAAAGAAAGTCACATAGCCAAGCTCATAACAAAGATTGGGGAAGTATACTCCTTTCATGGATATAGAGAATGTTTTTGAAATATTTATTTATTTGTTTGGCTGCACCGGGTCTTAGTTGCAGCACGTTGAATCTTTGTTGCCGCTTGCGGGATCTTCATTGCGGCATGCAGGATCTTTTTAGTTGCAGCATGTAATCTCTTAGTTGCAGCATGTGGGATCTAGTTCCCTGACCAAGGATCAAACCCAGGCCCCCTGCATTGGGAGTGTGGAGTTTGTTAGAGAATGTTAGAGAATGTTTTTGAACAGTAATCTAATCTACCACAGTAAAAGAGAGATTATATGATATAGAATCCAGTATTTCCTTTTGTGATATGTTTTTCTGAAGTATTAAAGTTGATAAATTTCAACATATGTATATACCCATGAAATATCATCACAATCAAGATAATGAATACATGCACCACCTCCAAAAGTTTCATCATGTACCTTTATAATCCCTCCTCCTCACTCCTCCCACCCAACCTCTAGTCCCTAGGTCACTATATTATAGATTAGTATGCATTTTTGGAAATTTTACATAAATGAAAAAAATATAGTATGAACTTTTTGTGTGTGATTTCTTTCACTCAACATAATTATTTGGAGATTCATCCATGTTGCTAAATGTATCAGTAGTTTATTCCTTTTTATTACTGACTAGTATTCTATTATATGGATATATACTACTTTATTAAAACTGTTCACGACATTTGGGTTGTTCTAATAAAGCTGCTATGACCATTCATGTACAAGTCTCTGTGTAGACATATGCTTTCATTCCTTTTGGACAAATTCCAACAAGGAGAATGGCTAGATTGTATATAAATGGACGTTTAACATTTTAAGGAACTGCCAAACTGTTTTCCACAGCAGTTGTACTGTTTTACCTTTGTGCCAACAGTATATGAGAGTTCCAGTTCCTCCACATCTTTGCTAACACTTGCTATGGTCAGTCTTTTTAATTTCAGCCTTTTTAGTAAAGGTGTAGTAGTATCTGATTGTGATTTTATTTTGCATATCCCTAATGACTAAGGATGCTGAACATCCTTTCATGTCCTTATTTGCCATCTGTATATCTTTTTTGATGTGTCTGTTCAATATTTTTGTCTATTTTTTATGGAGTTGCTTATTTTTTTATTATTGAGTTTTAAGAGTGTTCATATTTTCTGGATTGAAGACCTTTTTCAGATACACACTTTGCAGTGTGTATTTTCTCTCAGTGTTTGGCTTTTCTTTTTTAATTTTAATGAAGCTCAGTTTATCAATTTGGTTTTTTATATATAGATTGTATCTTTTATGTTATATTTAAGAAGTCCTTGACTAATCAAAGGTCACAAAGACCTCCTCTGTTTCCTTCTAGAAGTCTTCTACTTTTACATTTAGGTCTATGATCTGTATTGAGTCAAATTTTCTATATGACCCAAAGTATGAATGCATTTATTTTCTCACTTATGGATATCCAAATCGTTCCAGCATCATTTTTTGAAAAAACTGTTGTTTCTCCACTGAATTTAATTTGTACCTTTGTCAAAAATCAATTGTCCATATATATGTGGAACTATTTTGGGGTTTTCTAGTCTGTTCCAGTGATCTATTTATCTACCTTTCCATCAGTACCACAGTGTCTTGATCACTGGTTTTATAATAAGCACTGTGATCAGGTTATGTTAGTCTTCCAACATTGTTCTTATTTTTTAAAAGTTGTTTTGGTGACTCTAGGTCCTTTTATATTTCCATCTGAATTTTAGAATGAGTTTCTCAATGTCTAAAAAAATAGCCTGTTTATATTTTTATTAGAATTGCATTGAATCTGTAGGTCAACTGGGAAACATTGACAGCTGTACAGTATTAAGTCTTATTACCTATGAACATGGTATATCTCACCATTTATTTAGGTGTTCTTCATTTCTCTCACCAATGTTTTGTAGTTTTCCATGTAAAGAAAACCATAAAAGTAGTATTTTTTATTTCAGTTTCTAATTGTTCATTGCTAGTATATAGGAAAACAATTGTTTTTCGTTCAATGAGCTTGTATTCTGCAACCTTGCAAACCTCTGTAGTCTTTTTGTAGATACACTGGATTTTCTACCTACAGAATCATGTCATCTGAGGGGAAAGTTTTACTTCCTCCTTTCCAACTTAAGTATCTTTTTTTCTTGCCTTTCTGTACTGGCTAGAACCTCTAGTGAAATATTGAATAGAAATAGTGAGGATAGGTATCTTTTTCTTGTTCCTTATATTATGGGAAAAGCATTCAGCCTTTCACCATTAAGTATGGTGCTTCCTGTAGGTTTTTCATAGATGCCCTTCACTGTGTTGAAAAAGTTTTCTTCTATTCCTGCTTTGGTGAGAGTCATTATCAGAAATGAATGCTAGATTATATCTAATAATTTTTCTGACTTTATTGAGATGCTTATGTGGTTTTCCTTTTTTAGTGTGTTAATGTGATAAAGTAATTGTTCTTGAGTTGTAGGTTACCTTTGCATTCCAGTGACAAATTCCACTTGGTTATAGTGCATTCTCATTTTAATATATTGTTGGATTTAATTTGCTAAAATTTTGTTTAGAATTATATTCAGTGAGGGACATTGGTCTGTAGTTTTCTTGTAATGTCTAAGTCAAGTTTTAGTATCAAAATGATGCTGAATTTTTCTTCAATTTTCTGAAAGAGTTTAGAACTGGTGTTGCTTCTTCCCTAAATATTTGTTAGTATTTACCAGTAAAGCCATCTGAGCCTGATATTCTCCTTGTGAGAAGGGTTTTACATGTAACTCACTTTCTTTAATAGGTACAGGACTATTTAGAATATTTTTTTCCATAGTGAACTTTGGTAATTTTTGTCTTTCAAGTTATTGGTCCATATCCTCTAAATTGTCAAGTTTATTAGCATAATGTTATTCATATTCTCTTCTTACTTTGATATCTGTATAATTTGTAGTGATGTCACCTCTCTCATTCCTTTTATTGACAATGTGTGTCTTTTTTTTCTCTTTTGCCTAACCAGTCAGGCTGTAGGTTTATCAATTCTTTTGATCTTCTGAAAAGATCAACTTTTTTTCATTGATTTTGTCGGTTATTTTTGTTTTCTATTTCATTTATTTTTTACTCTGATCTTTATTGTTTCCTTTTTCTGATTAATCTGAGTTTCATTTGCTCTTCTATTCTAATTTCTTAAGGTAGAAGATGAGCTCATTGATTTTGAGCCCTCTCTTCTTTTCAGATGTGGAATTTAGTGCTACAAATTTTCCCCTAGATATTATTTAAGCAGCATCCAAAAATTTTTGATATGTTGTGTTTCCATTTGTACTCTGTTCAAAATACTTTTTAATTTCCCTTTTGGTTTCTTCTTTGACTTATTAGAAGTATGTTATTTAATTTCCAAATATTTCAAGATTTTCTAGAAATCGTTTTGTTACTGATTTCTAATTTAACTCCATTGTTGTCAGATACTCTGTATTACTTGAACACTTTTACATTTATTGAGACATTTTTTAAGGCCCAGAATATAGTCTGTCTTAGTATATGTTCTCTGTGTACTTGGAAAGAATGTGTATTCTGCTTTTCTTAAGTGGAATGTTGTATTGGTTTGCTAGGACTGCCATAACAAAATACTACAGACTCGGTGGCTTAAACAACAGAAATTTATTTTCTCACAGTTCTGGAGACCAGAAGTCTGAGATCAAGGTATCTTTGGTTTCTCACATTGGAAATTAGGTCTTCACCATAGGAATTTTAGGGAAACACAATTCAGTCCATAACAAGGGTTCTATAAAAATGTCAGTTAGGTCAGTTTGCTTGGTTGTATTGTGCAATTCTTTTATATCCCTAGCGATTTTCTGTCTACTGTTCTGTCAATTAATGAGAGAAGAGTACGGAAATCTCTAGCTCTAATTGTGAATTTATTTCTACTTAACAGTTCTATCAAGTTTTGCTACATGTATATTAAAGGTCTGTATTTAGATATAGACCTAAATTACTTAGGGTTGTAATAAACTCCTGAGGAATTGGTCCTTTATTATTATGAAGTGACCTTTTTGTGTTTATGGTAATATTCTTTGCTCTAAAATCTAATTTGTTGATATTTATATATCCACTCAAGCTTTCTTTTGATAAGTGTTATCATGGTATCTCTTCTCTTCATCCTTTTACTCTTAACCTGTTAGTCTGTTTGTTTAAAATGTTGTCCCTATAGGTATCATATAGTTGGATCTTGCTTTTTCACCCAGTCTGACAATCTCTGCATTTTATTTTGGGTGTTTAGAACCTTACATTTAACATGACTAATGATATGGTTAGGTTTAAGTCTATCATCATATTGCTATTTGTGTTTTATTTGTCCCATCTATTCTTTGTTCCCTCTTTCCTTTTTCTTCAGCCTTCTTTTGGACTATTTTTATGATTCCATTTTATCTTTTTTTGTTGTCCTACTCCTATAACTTTTTTGTTTTGTTATTTTAGTGATTGCTTTGGGGTTTATAGAATGTGTCTTTAACTTACCACAGTATCTTCCAGTGATATCCTACAACTTCACAAATAGTGTAAGAACTTTACATTAGTATAGCAGCTTTTCTCTCCTCCTGGCCTTTGGGCTATTGTCATTATAGTTTACTTTTACATGTTATATACATCACACTAAATTGTTAATATTTTTGTTTAAACAACAAATTGTCTTTCAGAGAGAATTTAATAAGAAAACTACTGTGTATATTTACCTATGTAGTTACTGTTTCAAGTGCTATATTTCCATCCAGCATCATTTTCCTTCCACCTGAAGGACTTTCTTGAATCCTTCTTGTAGAGTGGGTCTGCTAGTCATGAATTCTTTCAGATTTTGTATGTCTAAAAAGTATCTTGCTTTTTTTTTGTCCTTTTGCTTTTGTTTTTTTAAAGATATTTTCACCAGTTATAGCATTCTAGATGATAAGGTTTTTTGTTTTGGTTTTTGTTTTTTAGTAGAGAAATACATTGCTCTACTGCCTTCTCACTTGCATTCTTTCCGATGAGAAATCTGCCATAATCCTTCTTTGTTGTTCTATGTATAGCATGTCTTTTCTTGTCTGCCTCCTTTAAAGATCTCTAGAAATTTAATTTGGGTCTTTTTTATAGCTTCCATTTCTTAACTCTCGACCATGTGGATTATAGTGATGATAACTGTTTTACTGTCCTTGTCTGATGATTGTTACAGCTATCCAAGTTTCAGGTTGGCTTCAAATGATTTATTTTTCTCCTCATTATGGGTAATATCTTCCTGTTTATTTTATCCAGTTGGGAATATTTTTATTCCTAAAATATTCTTGTATTTTATTCTGGGATGCAGTTTAAATAACTTGAAACCACTTGATCCTTTTGAGTCAGGCTTTTAAGATTTATTAGGTGGGACCAGAACTGTGTTTAGTGTAAAGTTAACCATTCCCCAGTACTGAGACAAGACCCTTTTGAGCACTGTTTCCAATGCTCCATAAATTATGCAGTTTAAACCACGCTCAGGGAGACCAAATTACTTTTGGATATTAGCATAAACTAAACCTATTTAGAAAAGTAAATCAACAATAACATCCATGTCATGTATCCCAAAGATAGGGTTCTGGATTTTCACAAATTCAAACCATCCACATCATTGCTTTCATCCATCTGCTTATAGTATTAGATCAAATGTCCTCAAACAGATAATTTTATTTATGAGTTCACCTCCACCTTTTTTCCAAGCTCAAAAAAAAAAAAAGGCTCAATGTCCTCTCTGTCTTAGGTCCTCACGTGAGGTATATCCAAAAGCCTGACAACAGGCCCTGCTCCATCACTGACTCTGTCAAGCGATTCCCCAAAGAGGAGGCCACAGAAGGGAATGCCACCAGCCCACCGCAGAACCCACCTACCAACCTCACTGTTGTCACTGTGGAAGGTTGTCCCTCCTTTGTCATCTTGGACTGGGATAAGCCACTCAATGACACTGTCACTGGTAAGATCATGACACATGGACCGTCACTACGGTGGGAAGCATTGATAGTGCGATGCATTGGGAATGTGGTACCTTGATTCAAACTGTGGCCTGCGAGGCATATCTTAGGAACAGCAAGTCCCCGCAGAGTTCTGCTGTCCCTGTGGTACATGATTGTTAAAAGTATCATAAGATGCGAAAAGATCATCTTTGTTCTGGTTATGGTCTCCCTGTTAATTTAGCAGATCTCTTTAAGTTGCATACCTTCCTTCTCCTCTCAGAACTGTTTTTCACAATGTGAAGGTATATCTAGTCTTTTCATTACCTGAAAATCACAGATCACATATGGGAAGTTGCCACTGCTGATAAGATTTAAACCTGTTTTCCTTTCACCATCCCAATTTCTAGATTGACCTAGAATTTTCAAGCAGGCTAAAAGTTATTTCAATCATTTTAGGAAAATTGTTTTAATTTGGTCAATTTTCTGCTTATCTCAGGAAATTTTGATTCTGCTGTCACTCATCCAATTTCTCTAAAAATGACTGTGAAAAATAAGAAACCCTGAGTCATTCTTTGAATTTGTCATATGGGATTTAAATTCTCTGTAGTGAACAGGATAGTCAAAGTAGAGGGGAGGGGTGGAAAGACTAACAGCCCAAATCAGCTAGAGGATGTAGCAAACAGCGTGAGGACACAAGGTTCCTGCTGCTCATGTCCCCGCCACCATGTGCCTGGGGTGGGTAGGCAGAATAGAGTTGCCCACTAAGAGGCTGTCAGGAAAAGTAGAGAGCGGGTACACAGGGCAAGGTGAGGAGTGGGGAGACTCAGGATCTGCCAAAAAAGTTTTCTATGAATAAAGGAGAAAACAGTAGCTATTTCTCCTCAGACAAAACCGTTTGGTCTGGGCAACTTCCAGTGTAAGCAGCTTATCTTTGCTTAGCTGGCTTTTTAAATTTTTAACCATATTTTGTGAATTTCCTTTCTTATGCAAAGCTTGCCTTTGTTTTGAGAAAGAACCAGCCACTGCCCATGGTTCCTGGGGATTTGACTAGTCTTGCTTCTTTACTTGGAACTACACCAGTAGGTATTATCATCCCAATATCTAAAAATCAATCTCTAAGTATTGATTATCTACATGTATTAAAAAGTTGAAAACTCTCAATCCATATGCAGTGCTAATGAAGAGTTCCTGTGATAGTCTGAGGCTTCATTCTCACAAGACCAAATGAACTATAAAATTTCACTTGCCTTAAAAATATAGGACATCAAGTTGGAATTGGTTAATCTGTTTAATAATCTAATACATATTCACTTGGGTATGTCAATAGTATCTGATTTAGCTATTTAAAGTAGGATTTTCCTTTCATCATGTAACTTTTTTAAATTATATAAACCTGTAATTTCAAAGAATCATGAATAGGATATACTTTATCTACCAACTAGTTTTATAACATTATTTTTATTATTAAATGTTAACGGGCTGCTTGAGATCTTTCACTAGATACTGGACTTATGATAACCATTTTCATGGATAAGGACCACATCTATAACTATTATATTTTATAAATAGAAATAAGTCCATATTTAACCATTACTCAGTCTATATTTCAATGTTGGACCATATGCCCTAATGATCTGTTCTATTTTTTTCCATTTTTGTTTATTTTTAGTGTTCCATTAAATACCACTTGATTTCAAATGTAATCTTTTATAAACCAGCAGCTCAGATAATACAGAGATTAATTCTCATGTCACTGGAAATGGTTTTTCAAGAAAGAATTAAGAAAGATAACAAAAAAAGAGTGAAACATATTCTTCATTCCCCAGGTTGACTTCTGTCAGTAATCTTTCTTTTAATTGATAGGCATGTATTCACCTCTAGTAAATGCATCCAAATTCAGATGCTTCTCCATATCCCTTCTACACTAAAGTAGAAATAGGTACACCATAGAGATTGGCCACAGCCTGGGTCCTTGGACAACTTAAATTACTTATAAGGTATCATTTTCTGATACATCAAGAGCATGCTGACATAGATTTAAATCCCAGACCAACTGTGTTCTAGATAATGCAACTTGGATCTATAATTAGCCTCTTTGAACTTCAGGGTTTTTAAATTTATAATAATAATAATTCTTATTGCTATCAATTTATTGTGAGTATAAGACTTAACAGAGAGTAGTATCACCATTTGTTATTTTCATGCTGTATTGACCAGATAGTGATGTTCCCAATATTTATAATAATTATGTTCTAAGTGAATTATCTCATAATAGGGCAATAAAACCCTCTGAGGGGGAAAAAACAGACCAATTATTGTGTCAGTTCTTTGTAGATTTTCTTATATCTTTACTGTTAATGAAATTATTTTTTAAATCCCCTATTTAAAATAAGAAATACTGACACATACTTTTTTGTTGTTGGTGGTAGATTTTTATAATGTTCGTGGATTTATGAAAAGCTATTATCACTTTGAAGCATTAAAAAGGAAAGATATATACATTCTAAGACAAGAATTCTGAGAAAAATTCTAAATATCTTTTTAATCATGAAGGTAACTTCTAGATCCATTTTGAAAACTCCAGTCTTTCAGGACAAAAATAGTATTAAATTAACATTTAAAACTTGAGTCAAAAGAAAATTATAAAAGATGTGCTCTAAGTGTTGAAGTATACTAAAAGGCTAAGGTGATATTACAAAGAATATCACACAGTCGATGAGGAATGACCCAAACAAAGATGTTTTTTGAAGGTGATTGCTTTCATGGATAACCAGCTGGACTGTCATATAAATTGCTCTTTTGGTGACTAAGCAGCACTTGAATCTTTCCAATTGGAATCTCTCAAATTTTTGTGATCCTAGTTTCAAAACACAACTCGGGGATAATAAGGAATAATAAAAGATATAATAATAATAGGTACCACCTGTTGAGCAAAATACATGCAAAATACTATTAAGCACTTTCCATATGTTCCTTCTTTAATCCCTACAAGCAACACTATGAAGAGACACTATGGACATTTTACAGATGGTAAAACTGAGACTGAGATCCAGGCAAGTGGCTTGGTCTGTCTCTTCCCATTAAGTCATGCAGTTTCCATTTTTTAAAAATCAATTTTACATCCTTTCTAATTACTCTGATCTTTTTCTAGTAAATGTCCCTTCACAGCTGGAAGATATAAAACGAACATAATTGAATTTGGGATCCTACCTCTCTCTCTCTTTCCACACTCCTTTAGAATAGAAAGCCAGCTGAGACATAGGTTGGGAGCAGAGAGTCTGAGGAAGGAATCTTAAATATGGGCCATTAGTCCTTTAATAGCTGCACTAATGTGTCCAGATACAATGACCATTGCCTTCCAGTTTAATTTCAAATTTTCAAAAGGATGGTCATAGGAAATTACTCAGAAAAAGTGATCCTCCTTTTTGGCTTTTTAAAATTCACCAGTAAAGATCCTTCCCAAATTAAAATTGGTGATTATAAGTCTCCATGAGTTACTCTATAATTTCAGTTTTATTTCCGATATCCATCTCCTACCTTTGGTCTCAGTGCTAACAGCAGAAATCCCCAGTAACTTGCCAGCTCCTTTGCAACCTTCCCACTTTCCCTGATGCCCACCACTTGTGTATTTCTTCATACTGATGAAGCTGCTTTTGAGTAGGGTTTTGTTGGTTGGTTGTTGTTTTTTGTTCGATTTTTTTAACCCTCTGTGTGATCTTGTCACATGCATTAAACTGAACCCCAACTGAGAGCAGGGAAACTAAATTAGTAAATTATATTCTCTTATTCTGAAAGTCTCTTTCTTTTGATTAGCCCTACAAGTTCATAGACACCTGCCCTTAAGTTAAATTTATGCAGATTTCTATGCAGATTTCAAGGGCATAATTTTTTTAATTCAAAGATAATTATCAAGGGGGTATATGTTAGCAGTATGTACAAAATTTATGTAACTTACATAAGCAGTAGGTATCAAAATCCCATAATTCTGTAGTTCAAAATAATGAACTATAGAAAAGTATAGTTCATTGTTCATTATTTGATTAACTGTTATTTGCTGCTGTGGTTTTCAACTCAGTTTTTTGCAGCAGTACCATGTAGTCAGTGACGTTTTTCCCAGCTATATTGTGAAGCCCCATGAGCAGGAAATGTGCTTCTACTGAAACTCCGCTCCTCATACAATGTTTTTTACAAAGCCACACTGGGCTTTCCAGCAATGGCAGACGATCCGACTTACCTAACAAAATCATAGGTTATCCATAACCAACGCTACCATAGGAGCATCAACAGTCTTCACAGTTACCAGACCTTTGCTGCTATGGTAAAGAGAAAACAGAAATGGTCAATGAGCAACTCCCCAAATGCTTTGGGACCTTCATCATCCTCTGACAGTCCCCACTTGGAAGTTGCTAATGTGTACGATCAATACGTCTCTAGACCTGCAATCTTGTTGCTCACTTTTATGAGAGTTGACTCTGTTATGCGGTTAGCTTTGAGAACATTCAGTCCACCAGAGCATAAAGACAAGTATCTGTTGGCTTTTTTTGCTTTTCAGAATATGAAGTTATATCCAGGGAAAACGGGTCATTCGGTGGGAAGAACAAGTCCATTCAAACTACAAATCAAACCTTCTCCACAGTAGAAAATCTAAAACCAGACACAAGGTGAGTCACCAGTGCTATTACAGGTGAATTCTGAGAGTGCAAAAATCATAACAAAGGAGTAAAATGACATCACCCTTCTCTATCTTAAGGGAGGGTCTAGTTTGCATTTCATTCTTTGGCTTTCCATACACAGCACTAGATACCCCTAGAGTCATGGTTTACAAATATGCAAGTTATTGGTGGGGATACAAAAGCTGACAAGATGGTCTTGTAAGTTAACAGTACCGCTGGGAACATTGAAAGACAGAAGGCCATTAATATCAAACATTGATATTAAATACCAAAATTTAGAGGAGGAAAAGTCTATAGACCAGAGACAACTGGAGTGTGGATGGTGTAAACTAGATCTGAAAGCACAGAAGAAGTTGCCTGGCATGCTGGAAGGGAGGGGGCAAGGGAACAAAAGCCATGGGACAAATGTAGGTGAAAGTTTGTAATAGTTAATGTTTAGTATAGCTACAGACTAGTCCCAGACACAGTAACCCTTTGCTTTTGGGTCTTTTTAATATAGACCAATGAGAATAGATTTTTGAAAATGGACATATATAATATTAACAATTGTTCAATAATAAACAACTTTTCTTGGCATTCCTTACTACACATTGATACCAGGTTGTTTATCTTGCTGTATAGTTTTGTGATTCCTTTTTAAATCTAAAATACCTAATATTTTATCAGTTCATTTTATTATTTCAAGAAAAATAAGGGCCTTAGGCATTTCTAGAAATGTAGTAGGGAAGGGGTTTTTTGTTTTTGTTTTGTTTTACCTGGCTAAATTATGAAATGTATTGCTCAAGCAGAATCTCAAATGGATACAGCCAAGCATTTCCATGATAAAGCCAATGTGCTAAATTCATTTCTGGACTAAATTTCACTCTCTGTGAAAAATCGATTTCTTCCTTCAAGCTCCAAAACATTGTCTGGTAAACTGTCTCTACTTTCAGTATAAAACAAAACAAAAACACCCCTGACATCTTAAGTTATAGTATCCCAAGCAACATAGATCAATTTTCACACAATCAGGAGTTCTTCCAGATTGAGTATTTCATAACTTGATAAAGTTCCTCAGTGTTGAAAAGGATCAGTGGAGGTGAAGACTGGAACTTCAGCATCAGAGATTTTTTTTTTTCATGTTTTATTTCTTGTATCTTTCATTGTCATGTGACTGAATTGAATTGGGTGTTGATTGTGACACCCAGAAGAGCCTCTTTGGGCTCTGACAGCAGGGAGACTTTTCTAATCTTTTCAGGAGAAAAGGAAGTATCTAATTCATTATAGATGGTTTGCTGTATATAAACCGTAGTCCTATACAGCAAAAACGACACTTTTCCAGCAGTGTATGTTTTCTTCTTTTAAGTTCTCTGAGTTGTAATATGGAGAATTTTGCAACTGCTAATTTTCTTGAAGGTATTAAGTTAGCCACAATAAGCATATATTTCAGTAAAAGCCCATTTGATGATCTTGGTTCTGTTTCCTTAGCAAGATTAACAGGGAGAGAGCCTATAATTTATTTTAAGGAAGGAGTAAAAGAGAAAAGGTCATTTAATTTGGACTTTTTAATAGGTGGATTTGGGCTTACAAAACTTGGCTTTTCTCTGCAGTTTCTTGCTTTTTATTCCACTTAAGAAAAAGTGAGCTGTGTAGTGCGCAGAAAGTACATTGAAGGGCATCCAATTTCTAAATGTTCATTGTATTCCTTTTCTGAATCAGGCTGTTCTCGGATTTCACAGTACACCTATTAGCTCATAATCAGAGGTAGAATAATGCCAGTGACATTTTAAACCTGATTTGTTGGTAAAAGGTTGGGGTCTGCATTCAGCTAACATTTACTAAGTGCCAACAATGTGCTCAGCCCTGTGCTTCGTGTTGTGCCTACAAACAGAAGTGAGCATGGTACCTGCCCTTGAGGAGCTCGAGGCTAGTGGGGTAGGTCGCTAATGACCGATTATTCTACACAAAGTGGTGAGAGTTCTGGTAGAAGTCTGCACCAGGGGCGACAGAAGCCCAGAGTGGGCGGCACGTCGCAAAGTGTGGGGAAATTAGGAAAAACTTCCTGGGGGAGGCGACCCCTAGGCTGAGGCTTGAAGGAGGAGTAGGCTGGAGCCAGCTAAGTGACTGTTAAGAGAAAGGAATGTCAGGGAGGATAGCACATGTCAGAGCAGTGGCCCGAAATGGCACGGTCGTGTGTGGTGAATAACGGGCTGTTTTCACCAGTGTGAGGGGCGAAAAGTGGCCAGAAGCCGTAGAAGCCAAGAGAAGCAGAAGCCAAGTTAGGGAGGGCCTTCTGCGCCAGATCAAGAAACATGGTCAAGTGATGGGGAGACCCTAAAGGATGGTAACTGGGGAGTGCCTTGCTCTGACTTTCATTTTCATTCTGACTTTCATTTAGTTGGAATAATCACTTTTGATACTAGAGGTACTTATAATGAATAGCAGCTGGTAGAACAAATCTAACTAAAAGAACTTTTTGTTAATTTCTTTCATGAGTACCATTCTGGCATCTGACCTAGTTGGTCAAATAGGTACATAAGAGAAACGTGCCTTTGGGCTGAGCTGAATTTCATTCTGGAATCACAGGACCGATCAGGTCATGGGGTTCACATCTAGCTTCTGGTTGTAATTGTTTCAGACTCAGCTACAGCCTTGTCCTCTTTATCCCACCCTCCTCCTATGTGTCTTGCTTGTCTCTGCTGTCTGTCATCAGTGTACCTTCTAAGGAGGACCCCTGCAACCTATCCTTATCCCAAGACGAGCAAAACCCAAAGGAAGCCCTTTCTGGATTTGTCTTTGGAAAAAGCAGTATTAAACTAAGATTAGGAATCCCTGTAATTAGAACTCCATGCCAAGTTTTACAACTTGGCATAAAGTTGGGGCCACTATGCATGTCTGTATGTGGCTTATTTAATGTTATTTTTAGTTCGGTACAATTAAATGAAATCCATTCAGATATAAAGACTGTTAATGTTCATAAATGTGATTTGACCAGGATTTTATATTGATAGTCCCTAATGGGTCATGATTTAAAAGTTGTATATCAGTAGTTTGAAGCAAAGAACATTCTCACACTGGGGACAAATGTAACACACATGGATGTAAATTTTCTAATGGAAATTATTTAGTCTATGCCATGGGAAACTTTGTGGTGGTCTAGTAGTTCAGTAGATCCCAGCCCCTACTGAGCTTGTAAATATATTCTGCACTCTCAGAGGTATGATGGAGATTAATCTGTCTAATGGGCAGAAATGTTTTGAGCTGAAATATTAAAATTATGTGTTGAAACCCCTATTAGTCAAATAACCAAGGAAGAATAAAGTGAAGTCAAATCATTTCATTTACTTTGAGATTTCTGAGCCTAAAGTTACCTGAGGAAACAAAACTAACACCCACGAAACATCATAACACAGAATAAAAGAACATGCCGATGTAGGACTTACACCCAGGTTCTGCAATTTAGAAGAGGAGAGAAAGCCTCGTGGAATACTCGAGACAAGAACTTGACAGTAAGGGATAGGATGGCATGAAGCAGGCCGGCAAGAAAAGAAAGAACAGTAGTATTCCACGTGAAATCCACGTGCACGACTTAGGTGAAATATAAGTAGTCTTCAAAGTTACTACTGACAGCAAGGCTACAGCAAGTGTAATAAAACTACGAGTTCCCCAATGTAGGTTTGTTGGCTCTTTTGATGCAAGCTTTTTTCATACTGTCTTACGTTGTTAAGGCAACGTTCCTTTCTATTGTATCTTCTCTACCCCAACCATGATCCAAGATTAATGTTAATAAAAGACTCCCTGTAAAATAAAGAGGAAGTATGTACAGGATGCAGTTAGCAGGTGGTTTTTATTAGCTATAAAGAATGACTTCAGTCACATTTCATTACTTGAGGAAAATTTTGAGTCCAAATACATAGTAAACTCCCTAAATAAGCAAACTTTGAATTATAGCTGTTAAAATTCCCCCATGAGGTTCTGGAATTCCCTGTTTGAAAAGCTGGAAGATAATAACTTCTGAAAGAATATCTAGCTTTTTTCTAATTCTAGGAGACACATATAAAGAATTTATTTTAGTAGCATTTTCCATCATTTGTCCTGACTTAAAAACAGGAGCTCTAAAAACAGGTGATAATTACTGGCTAATCGTTACACAGTGACATAGGTGGAGTAGAGCTTGGTGTTAGAACATCCAGGAGAATCAAGGCAGAGAAAATAGATCTACAGGGCTTTTGGGAATAAAAATTCTAAGTGTTCACACACTATTCTAGAATCAAAAAGACAGTCAATGATGCTACCGTCTCCCTGCCCATTTTTAACAACTTAGCCAAGTTTTATTTACTCTGCAGAAGCTCAAAAAATAACCCACAGTATGGGACCATCCAGCAGGTGTCTTGCTGCTGGGAGAGTTCAGCTGCACACCTGGCGTGAGATGCTTCTGTCTCTAGAAAATGGAGCCGCTTGGCTGCCCTGAAGAGCCTGGGTGCAGCTCCCAGGGCGGCACAGCAGGGACAGGCCCGGTCTTGCTGATGGCTTCTTGCAGCTGGGGTGACAGATGTACGCAGGGAAGAGGGGCTGTTTGGGCAGCCAGAGCTGTTTTAGTCAGGTGAAGCAGGAGATCTGTTAACAGAGGCAAGAGGCTGTGGCACAACTCTATCACATTCTTTGGAGGATCCCTCTCTCACCCCCGCCCCTAAAATACAAAGAAAATGTAGAGATGTTAGTGTCCACTGAATCAGTACCCATCTAGGCCACTCTCCAATATTTATTTTCCACTTATTTTTTTTCCCCATGAAACCTCATTGTGTGGCTCTTGTTGAACTAAAAGAAAAATATTAAGAAGAGCCTCTCCTGTCCGGAGCCAACTACTTTGTTTGCAAAGACCACTATGATTATATTTAGTTCCGTGAATGGAAGAAATGATAAAGTATATGGCTTAAAAATTGTGTTGCACCACTGCTTAAAAGGACACGAAGTGTGGACTAATTGATCTTGAAATCTCTCCCAGCTCT